ACAGCAAGTAGGATTCTGAGCTAGGTGTCGGTTGAAGGTGAATGTTTCCACAGCCCTTTTTCCTCAACGTTTGGGCCCATACGTCTAAAATGAACAGAGCAAAGATTTAAATTGTAGGTTTAATTGTAGGTTTGGGGTTGAACGTTGAAGTTTCCTTTGCTCCTGTCACTGACATATTTATTGAGAGAAGGACCCGGCTGGTGTCGAGGCTGGGTGTGTGTTTGGGGGCACGAACATGTTGCCTGGTGTCTTGGCGTTTTGGGGCTACCTTCCCGGGCAAACCGGCAGCCTTGTGGTGGGGACTTTTTTCCTGGTTGAGACTTGTTCGCCCTTCCTTTTGGCCACAGACGAAGCCAAGCAAAAGGGAGGTCGCATTGGTGGTCACCCCTCCATGTCAGACTGGGTCAAAGCATACAGTATCCTATGGCAATTTAGGAGAGAGATGCGGGGGCTCGGCAACTTGCTTCAGATGCCAAGGGAACGGAGACCCATATTTCCCATGTCCTGCAGGGAAGCTTCAAATGAACATGGGTCATTAAAGGTGTTTCTTTGGCGTCGCTTTGAAGAGAACATAAATGATACGTTTCTCCTTGTACTCATATATCCGGTGTTTGGTTCATGAGGACACAATCCATTTTTGAGGACTATTTTGAGGTGACCTCTCGCTATCCTGAAGACCCGCCAGGCTTTTTGCGCGAGCGAGGCAGACTCGCGCCTTGACCAGAATTGGATGCATCCGTCCGAGAAGGACACGTCCAAGCACCTGAGGATTTGGATCATCAGCTTCAGGTGGTTGGGGCCCTTGTCCTGGGCCCCTTTTGGCCAAGTTCAAACATCAGCGCTTCAACGTCCTGCAAGGTGAAACATGGGCAACCGCCATGTGTCCAAACCGAGGGCCTAAGATTTGAAGAATGGCCTTGTTTTTGTTTCCAGCTTGAGAAAAGCCCGATGGGCACTTTCCTTCTGGTTGATCTAAAAGGGCAATTCCAAGATGAGCTGAGCAGCTGTAGCTTTGCATTCAGGTAAGTATGACCGTCTTGATCAATCTGTCTTTGTTGTTTCCCGAAGTCAGCTGAGCAATCAAACCCGCGAAACCCACAGAACTTGGTGCAGCCGCCCTAGCTTGTTGAAAGAAGGGGTTTTGATACTGACTTGGCAAGTCTTTCCTTTCAAGCGCGGGATGTTGGCTTCGAATCTTCGATCAGAACCGCGCCAGGAGAGAGTAGTTCCATGTCAGCCACACCGCTTTTGACCTATTTGGGTATGTATCAAAATAGGGGGACCGCTTCAAAACAACAAAGTGACAAGCTAAACTTTCTTGTTGGTTTTCCTTGAGACCGAGGTGCCGAGAAAAAAACATGGTATTCATTCATGTTTGGGTTCAGGTTGTTGCCCCTTCGAGAGCATAGACTGGCTGCGGGGGGTTGAAGCCGTGGGTGAATTTACTCAGAACCTCAGAACTCAGGACGTGCTCGCGCGTCTCTGGAAGGCGGGAGGCTTTCATGATGCTAGGATCTTTACCCCGGGGGCGGGGGGGTAATGGCAACCATGTTGGTGTGTCTTTTTATAGGGGACCCCCCAAACAATAATAGTAATAATAATAACAATATGAATAACAAGAATAATAACAATAATAATCACGTGTCGTTTCCCTTTGGTATGCCTTTAAAAGCGGCCAAAAGAGGGTACTGTATCCACAAACACACCACACCCTGTCTGATTCGGCACCCCTTTCAGTGAGAAATCCTGTCAAATTCTGGACCTTTGAACTTTAAGCCTCGAACAATGCGCAGTGCTTGGGTGAAAGCACTGCGCAAAGTGAGGAGCTCACCGATCGGGGGTAAGCGACCGCACCTGTGATGGCTTCTTCTTTTGGAGTCCTCATTTCAGATTACAAGTATCATAGTGATTTGCCAAGAACACATTTTGCGGGCGTGTCCAGTTTGCTGGTATTTGAACCCTGAAGCCATGCGATTGTGGTTTACACTGATACTCTCCACGCTGATAGTCTCCAGAAACTAAATATGGATGAATAGAGGAATCTCGGGTCTCATGTTGAACTGTTGTTTTTGAAGACTTCTGTTTGCTTTAGGGGACCTGCTGTTGACAACATGTTAGGTTATTTCTGCAGACTAAATGGGATTTAAAAGCAACAACTAACAGCGCCGTTTTTGACTGAGGAGGAAGCTGAGGTCGCGCCTTTCCCCTCCTCCTCGTACCCATCCTTTCGCGGAATCCGCGGAATGGATCAAGGTATTCCCTGCACCAACATTTGCGTTCCATCGTTATTTCTGGTCCTCAGAAATGAATCAATGAGCCAGCATTAAGAACTGTGTCTTGTGAGGAAACCCTAAAGAATGCCTGGATCATTCATAAAGCCCGGGAACTCCCCGCTCAGCGCTGAGGGCCAGCGGTTTTTCGGGGCATAGCCATATCGCCAGGCCCACGGCATGTACGACTTGGTGCTGCGCGAGTGGAGCTCCATGTTGTCCGCTAGGCCTGGTGCGAAAGACGAGGGAGGCTTGAGGTTTCCAGTCCGGTTTTCCAAGTCGCAATGAGCGTTCCGACGTTCAACTTGGAAAAGGAATCCTCACCAGGGTTCAACTGACAGATGGCCCCTGTGTCGCGCTTGTTGGGCCAAACCGGGGGCTTCTTTGGGCTTCCCGGCACTGTTTGATTGCGTTCCAATTCAAAATGAGCCTCGGTTTAGTGATTCTCAAAAGGGCAAACACACCAATGAGGACTCCTGACCGGTCAACCTTTTGGAGGCCGAGAATGAAGCCAGGCGCTACCTCGCCTATTCAGTTGGCGAACATGGGGTTCTTGGTCATTTTAGGAAGAGGCGCCAGCGCCCTGAGGGCCACAATGCTTGTTGACAGTATGTTGATTTCGTACAGGGCCAAGAAGTGTTGTCTTGCTGGGGAAGTGTCCAGACATGAAAACACGTATTGGAGGAACATACATTTGTTTCAACCCTCAGCCATCAACTATCAACTGCAAATATGCATGTGTGTGTGTGACTGCTTGCATAATTGAGTGGATATACGTACTAGCACGTGTATGACGATGTATGTATGTACAATATATATATATATATATATATATATATTATATAATACATTTGTACAAGTGTAGCTAATCAAGGGATGAACAGACCACAATGTGGGCAAAGTAGAACGAGCACACAGCACACCAAACGGGGGTATAGAGGTCTTACCTGGGAAGTTTCTTTCCATGGCATTGGGAGGCCCTCCGTGCCTGTTGCCCCACCGGCGAGGGCCGTGGGTGCGGTTTGGGTGCTACCTTCGGGCTTGCATAGGTTCGGATTCAGCCCTCAGTTCCGCACCAAGCTGAGCAGGACCCGCACAGCAGAACAGAGGGAAAAGAGGTTCGTGAAGTAATTACTTTGCCCAGACAACTTCTGCATGCGCATGGCTCCTGTGCGGCGTGAGCTCCCGGTCCCAGGACTGATGCTCGGATATCCAGAGCCCAGATCGTGAATGAGATGGTGGAGGCGTTGAGGCGCGCATCGATTCGCCGCACAGCACCAGACCCCTCAACCCGCGCCGCTCCCTGGCTTCCGAACCTAAGGCCCAGGGTCTTTGGCAAACCGCAAAGAGGGGGTAGAATCCATGACACTAGATGCCAAGCGTTTCTGTTGAGTTGCCTGAAAGGGCTTCATGTCCCCTCACGAATACACCCTCATTCTGAAGTGATCTGAAGTGGTTGTCTTTTTGGTGGTTGCGGGTTCCTAGGGCGCAGGGCTCCCTTAACAAGGCAGGGTAGGTAAGTCGTTAGCTTCTCGTGCAATCCAATTGGGGGGCACACAACCTCATTCAACACCGGCTACCCTCCCTCCTTCTGTATCTGTCCACCCCTCAAACCCCACAACATGTTGATTCAGACCCAGCGGTGAGTATATATAAAGAGGGGGGCTCAGACCGGTGATGTCCGTTTTCCTTCGACATCAACCACACAAAGGGACACGTCCTTTTTCTCGAACCCCGAAAGACTTCATGACGGCCTTGTTTGCCCGCACTTAGGGCGTTCGCCCCTTGAGCTTTGGGGCTGTCGTGCGGCCACGATGTTGTCATCGAAGCTTTGCAACCCGTAAGTGCCACTTTCGGGTTTGCCACCTCCAGAGGAGGCTGAGTTGTGTGTGGCTTTTATATGGCGACCTCTCCCAGCACAGGTGGTTTCAAAGTTTCATTTGGTTTCCCTTTGAACAAAAACGGCAAAACCAAAAGGGGGGCCTTCTGGTTTCCATAGAGGTTCAAACATTGTGCTTGTTCCAAAAGGAGCGCCCTCAGCAAAAGGACTTGGGTGTCCCTGCAACACAACGCCTAAATGGGCACGTCCTGCCCCTGTGGCTGTAAGCTAAAAGAAAACAACATGTATTGTATAATTTATTGTTGAAACATTGTACACCAGTAAAGTCTGGCAGATCCAGGGGCGGAACTTTCAAACTATAAGGACTATAGTTTGGAGCACCCTTTTTGGGCCGTTCTCTCTCGCGCTCGTTCTTTCTCTTTATTCCGTGTCTCTTTTTCTTGTTTTTTTGTTTGTTTTCAGCGTGGTCCGAATATTTATATTTGTCTTATCTTTATCTTCATCGTTGTCTTTGTGTTCTCTGTGTATTGTATACTGTATAGGTTATATTATTAGTCATCTTATTAGTTAGATTTATTGCATCTTTAGTGTTTTCGTCTGATTTATATCTGTGTTGTTCGTTGTATGTATCGTTGTCGTTGTATCTATCTCTTCTTGTGTGTTGGGCTATTGTTTAATGGTTTTATCTTAATCTAAGTTTGTCTAATCTGCATTGTAGTTATATTTAGGTGTGTATGTCAGGTATATGTATGGTGTTGTCTTATATTATTGTGTTTATCGTTATCTCTACATGTCAGTTCTGATCTATGAGTATCTTATTTTATCATATTGCCGGGTATCTTATTTTTGTTGTTTGCTTTATCGTCTTATTCATCTTATTAATATATTTATCTTTGCATTTATATGTCCCCTTTTATTGGTGTTTGTATCTGTCTCTTATGATTGCTCTTGATCTTTATACTAGTATGTATATTTATTTTCATCGTTTTCTCGATGCTTTGTGTCTTTCTCTTTCTCTTTCTTGTTCTCTGTCTTTTTCTCTTTCTCGAAAGCTCCTTGCTTTTTCCTCTATCTCTCTCTCTCTCTCTGTCCCTCTCTCTCTCTCTCTCTCTCCCTCTCTCTCTCCAACCCACGAAAGTGAACAAATGCAGAAAAGCTGACCCGCCCCCTCGCCGAAAGTCCGCAGCGGGTTTCGCGAACGAAGCAAACATCGCAAAAATAACGCGAGTTTTTCAAGGTCGGCCCATCAAAAGTTCGCAGCGGGTCTACCTTGTGGTTGCGCAAGCTGAAAACGGGGAGCAACAAAAATAACGCGAGTTGTTTGAGGTCGACACTCCGAAAGTCCGCGGAGGGTTGCGTGAGCGAAGTGAACATTGTAACGGCAAGAGGCCACGAGTCTCTGAGGGTCGACCCACCCAAAGTACGCAAAGGGCTTACCGTGCTGAGCCAATGGTCCCGTCTCCGAAACCGTTCCGCTTCCGCTCGAGGACAGCCTTTGTCACATTCGAGAGAGCCGAATTCACGCACAGGGCCAACGGTGTCTGCCTCTTGCTATTTCCCAGCTCTCGCATGTTCATTGTTTTTTTGTTGCTCGCTCGATTTGTGGATGTCTTAGAACGAGAGAGAGAGAGAGAGTTAGCTTCAAATAGTTCCAGTACGCAAGTTCTTGTCAGGTGGGTGTGCGTGTGTTTTTTGAGGATGCCCTGTTTGGGGTTATTATTTTTTAAAGAAACATCAAGGGGAAGCCACCTTTCCTAGGGGTCCCCGTTTTCAGACAGACCTACAATGCTACCCGGACTCTCGGGGAGTTCAGGAATTTCCCTCACGAGGAGCGTGCGCGGGGCATCTGGCGCGGCGCTGCTGCGGAGGTGCGCCGAGTCGCCGAGACGGCTTCCACCCTCGATGAATATTGGGCTGTCAAATCAGGCAGCCCTGATTTGGTGATTTTGGAACAATCCATGTTGAACCGCCCAGCGTTTTTTTTGATTTGTTTCCTTTGTTTTGGGAGGGGGGTGGGTCCGCAAGGGTCTTTCAAAGTCCTAAAACACGTCGGGAGTTTCAGGATTGCATTTTGGCACGGGGCGAAAAGGAGCCCTTGCCACACGGTAGCTTTAAACATCACCTTGGCCAAGGGGAAATAAAGGGAGCCCCGTTCCTTGAAAGACCTCCAGCAAAAAGGTCACTGTCTGACTTTGTTTATGCAGGAACTTGGCTACCTTGCGATGTTCAGCCAGTGAGTCAGGCGGGGTTCCTTGAAAATTGCTGTCAGAGAGACAATGCTTGGCAGCAGCACGGGCATGGCCATTGTCCCTTTTAGGACTTTGACCAAGACATGAAGATCCCTGCCTGAGGGTTGATATGGCAATGCACGCTTTTGCGGTTGTCTTAGGTTCTTCTCGCCCAGCTGATGATTGATCTGCAAAAGGTATCGTGACATGTTCTCCTTGCATCACGACATGTCAGTATGAGAGGTCGCATTAACTGTTTGTGATACCAAGGAGGCCCCTGTGTAGCGACACAGCATAGCCAGAGGAATTGCCCACTTTGGTATCACCGAAGTATTATTTGTTTTCGCCAAGGTTTAGCTCCTTTTCACTCCGCCTCATTAATTCTCCTATGTCGAGGATGTCCAAACAATCGGGAATCGCATCTATTGACCGGGGCTCGCGCGTCCGTCGCAAACCAGGCATGACGCGGATGCACGACTGTGGGAAACTGGCTTTTAGGGCCGCTATGGGCCGCTTTCTGCGATACCAAGAAAATTCCCCGATCCAGTCATGGTGATCCGAATTGGTATCAGAGCAAGGTTCATTTCCGACAGCCGTGCGGAAAGCCAAGGCCCGGTTTTGATTGCACTGCCTCATGAGGTACGTGCCACAGCTCCTGTCTGTGGACGCCCCTTCTGTCTTGCAGGCAGAGCGCGGATCTCTAGTTGGGGGCATTTACCCAAGGGGTATGGAACAGAGCTATGTCCACCCTGAGTGGGGGGATTTGTGAGAACCCCCCTACTATTTATTAGGGATGAGCTTAGCACAAACGTGGTGTGTGTGTGTGTGTGTGTGTGTGTGTGCGTGTGTGTGTGTGCGTGTGTGTGTGTGTGTGTGTGTGTGGAGGCGAGGGGGACAAACCTAAGCAGCCTGTTTTCAATCGTAACCGCTCCAGGTATTATCAAACAGGATCCGCTTGGAAGAGGAATCTAAAACCACTAAAACCGCTCAATCCAGGGCCCCTTGAATATTGCAATGTTTGAGGGGCGCGGTACATAGCGAAGTCGGGGTACATAAACAAACATACATTCACCCTGCAGAGGGTCTCAAACGGTTAGCGGGGGAGGCGGGAGCGGGGCGGGGGGCTCCAATCCAGTCTGGGGTATGTTCCAATTGATGCAGCGATCAGAATTATGTTTGGCCCTTCTAGTAGGAGTTTCATGTTTGTAACCATGTTGGTAGAAGCAAACGTCAACGAGTTGTTATGTGCTGCTAATGGGAAAGCACCTACTGCCTAGGGGTCAAGGCTTCGGTTTGTTTGCCTACAACCTGCCAGTCAGCCAAGGTAGGCGGCAATTTTGGAGATCCGTGTTTTCGACTGAAATGGCAGCAAAGGTTGAGCGAACAGTGAGCACTGAATACTTCCCACGGGTTAGGTTTGGAAAGAACACTGGACGTCGTGTATGCAAGACTGGTTCATTGCAGTCCCTTGTAGTCGGTGCTCTATTTCTTGTTTCTGCCGCGTTCATTCGAAAGTATCCGGAGTCGACAGCAATGTCCACTTGGCGTTGATGCTTGCAGGCCAAACTGGCAAGCTTGTACACAGCCGGTGGATTACTCCTTAAAGAGCATACACCGACTTCGTGGAGGCGTATGGCGGTGATATTGATTCTAAGAGCTTCGACCGCAAGAGCTTTCTCCGCGCTGGCCAAAAGACAATTCCGGGAGATGCCTATGGACGATACCGCTACCACGTCTTGGAAGGCATGGCAGAGTTTTGGGTATCCCTTAAGATAAAATGATCATTGAAAGGTGGTTTTTTCCTGGGCTCCAAACTAAGGCAGGAGAGAAGTGATTGCTGAAAGAAGAGGGAGCTGAGGGGATAAGAGGTTGTGAGTTGATTCGAAGCTTCGATGGGCTACATCCATACCTGAAGATGCTCGCTATGTCCAATGCTTCTTTTTGCCGGATGCCTATGGCCAGAAGGTGGAACATGGAGTTCAGTGCGGTGCGAAGTGGGCAAACAGTAACGGGGTCAGAGAAAGGTTTGCTCGGAGGCACCATCTGTTGTTTGGTATTGCTCGTGTCAATCCTTGAGACCCATTCCATTGTGTTGGTTTTCTTGGGTTTGCTTGAAGTCGATAAGTAATTTGTCCAACACAACTTCAGCTTTGGGTTTGTGTCAAACCAGTTAGTTTCGTTCATGTACTACCCAATCAGATCCACGGGTTCCAGGCTTCATGTCATTAAAGATCTGATGTGCGCTTTTGTGATGAATGAGTCAAGATGTGTCTTGGCCAGTAGGATTTTTAGCCTTTGCCCTTTCGCTTGTTGGGATTGTGTTTTCCCACCCAACAAAACAGTTTGTTTTTTTCACCCCCCTTGGCTTGGGGTCCTAACTAGCGTTGACTTCGCATACCCATTGCAGGTCTTCACTTCGCGCGGGCGGGAGGTGTGAATGGGGGGCGCAAGCGTGAAGCCGCTTCGGGGCGATAGACACGGTTCTTGGGGCACACGGCCAAACAGAGGGGTACTTGTTGTAGGGGGGTCTTGCTTGTTCTTTTGGTTGTCATGTGTTTTTCATTTGGTTTTCTTTGGGTTTGCTTTTGGTGTCTTTTTAGAGTCATCCAAAAGGGCGTTTCTTTGACGATCTGGGCGGGACAACGGCACCTCCATCCACTTGGCCTCCAGACCCAAGTTCCTTTGGAGTCATAACATGGAAATAGGCACCTTTCATTCGAATCGCTTGAACCCCCTTTTAAGGCTATCCATATTCCTGGCCCCGCATGACCATGGGCAACTTGTCCCGTTTAGTGGGGGAGTCATCTTTCTTGGTTTGCCCTGGTCATCCCATGTCAGCACATTTTCGTAAATCCGCGTGTGAAATTGTGGATCCAACTCCTCACTTTCCAAGGCTCTGAGAGCGAAGATATCAACCCTCATAACGGTCAGAAAGCAATGTGAGAGGCTCAGTACAAAGATTATTCTTTGATGGTTTAGTTTGGTTTCCTAGTGCCTTGCAACCTCATTGGACTTCTTCAAGCCCGTGTTGTGTGCTCCGTTTACTTGATTTGAACCGCCCCCAACATGGCTTGGTGCACACAACTTCCGCTTCGCAATCAATTGCAACACGTTGTCCCTTGTTTGGGTGGTCTAAAAGGGGAACCAAAAGGGCAACCGACACCATTTTGAGGGCTCCGACCTTAGAACACGACACGCCGATACGATCCTTGCAGCTTCCGCTGCACGGCATGGGAAGGCCCTGCTCTTGCCGGACGAGGTGCTGCAGCTCCTGGAAGGCGCCAACATCAGACGCTACCTAGGCGGTGCCTCAGTTGGTGTTTCTCGGTTTTTAGGGTGCAGAGTTTCCGTTTCGTCTTTGGACTTGTTTTTCTTGTGGGCATTCTTGGTCTGGGCTTGCCTTCCTATTGGTCTTGGCCGATGTCTTTTCTTTAGCAAAGGCGACCAGCATGATTTCGCTTGTTTTGTCTGGCCAGTCAATTCAGCAGGTCCGTATTGTTTACGCAGCGACCTGCGGAATTTAATTGAGTAGATTTCGTTGCCTGGTGCCATGTATGTGGGTGCCATCTGTTTGGGGTTTGTTCAGAGGGACAGGTATGTTACCCGCTACCCGCATTCTTTTCGCTGTTCCGCCGCTTTCGGGTTTGACTAGGGATGAACAGGGGGGGTGAACCAAAGTGGGACTGCTACTGGGCGGTGCCTTCAAGGACTACGCATAGTTCAATCAGCTCCCAAAAACATGCAACATGGGTTGCTTCGTTTCAAGCGCACCCTTTGGGGGGGTATGGGGCAAAGGAGAGCCTCCCATTTTGGAGGTTCCCTCATTGCGAGATATTCCTCGTATTGGCTCCCAAGTGACGCCAGGCCAATTGAATGACTCATCAAGTCGCTAAATGGATAAGGCTAATAGAGAGGTAGCTCGAGATTGCTAACCGCTCAGCAATTTCCCGGACCATTTGAGTAATTATGCAACTCCCGCAATCGCATGCTAATTATTTGGGCCCTTGTAGCAAGCACCACTGATGCCGGATTTTGCTTGGCTACTCGACTGAATTTCCCTGAGTTTCCCTTTTTCAGACCTCCAAAAGTGGCAATTCCATTGAAGCCCAATTGTGACTTGCACCGTGTGGGAAGGACATCCTGTGACCCCTGCAGTTAGAATCACCAGGGTCTCATCCAAGCCTATTTCATATCTTAGTGTAGTTTAAATCTAAATATGAAACAGCATGCTGTTTTCTGTGGTTGGAGGCGGTACACCCCTGGATTCATATGATGTCTGCCCCTTTTTCAGTGATCCACATCTCTTATGGGAAAGTTACACTTTTCCAAGCAATCCGCCCAATTCTACAAACATATGGGGTCAACATTCGACCATGGGCATACATGAGGAAGGTCCTTTTCCCATTTTTCGGTTTATTTTCGTCCTCCCTCCAATCATAGCTGACAAGTTGTAGGAAGACATGGCAGGCTACTTCCTGGACCTTGTCCGCTTTAGTGAATAGATCCCATGGTTTTGCCAAGGCCAAAAAGGTCGGGCCTGATGTTGCGTTTTTTCTCTTCGATGAGGGCCCTTTGTTTTGTTGGTGACCATGGCGACCATCCGAAACGCTGAGAATGGTCCGGGCTCCAAAAGGCCGCGCTCCTTGCTAGCTGAAAGCTATGGGAGGGTTCAACCTTGGAAGGCCCGGTCGGAACCTTCCGCATGCGCGCACATGTGATATCCTTATGCTGTTGGGGATACCTGAGCCACAAGCAAAACCCGGGTAGATGAAGGTTACTAAGGGACAATCCCAGCCAGAAACAGCTGCGGCCGCCTTTGTATTTCCTGGGTCAACCATTTTCATACCGCGTTTTGATTGTGACTCGACCTGAGATAAACTGCGCAGGCCACGAGAGCCTGGTGATGGCCTTCCTGGAGGAGCTGGTCGCCAGGAAGGAGGCCGAAGAACACGAATCGAAGCTAGTTGGGAGTTGGAGCGTGCGGAGGCCACGACGTATGTTCTTCCTTGGGGGAGGCTCGGGGTTTTTGCAAAGGGGGGAAGCCCCCATTGTTCAACTTGCTGAAAATAGTGCTTTCTTTTTTTTCACACAGGGTTCTCTCTTGAAAATCAAAGCAACGCGCCCTTGGAAGTCAGCCACCAAAAAGGTTACCCAGCGCTTCCCGGCAAGCCACTCTAGTCGATAACCAGGGAAACCATGATGTAAAACCTGATAGCCATACCTGTTTGCCCACAGTGGTTTGCCTGGATGAAGTGGGTTGGTTGTCGCCATGGCCACTGTAGGTGGCAGATCCTAGTCGCCGTAGGGAAACTAAGAGGAGACGTTGGGTATTAGTCAAAGTTTGAAGCCAACCTTTAAAAACATATAATTAAAAACAACACACGCACACACAGGCTGTTCAACAAAACGGCTTTGGACATGATACAGAGGGTCGGTAGTGGGCAACCTTGGAAGTGAATATTCATAGCCACCATGGCTGTTTTGTGGATCCAAAACGAGCTCAAAGGAGGTGTGTCTCAACAAATCATTTGACGGCAGTTGTATTTGCGGTTTATCTTAGTTTTCTCGTGCTTCTTTTACTTCGAGACGTATACAACCAAACTATTTATTGCTTACTGAAACATAAAACCAAAAGCTCGACCCTAACAATTCCATCAGATATTTCTTGTTGATGGGTTTTGCATGCACAGTTTCCCCGTTTGGAAAACTACCGTCCTTTTGGAAAGGGAGTTTGTGCACTTGTATTCTTTTTGTGGGAGGGTGCTGCCCTGGAAGTTAACACGGACCCTCCAAGGTTTGTCTGGGGTTCAATGTTTGTTTATCTCAATGTTTGCGACAGATCCGCTTCCACGCGACTGCCGAAAGAATGGCAGGGAGCCCTCTTTGACATTAGTGGACATGGAAACCGCCAGACCGCGCAATCCGGGGGAGGGGGAGGGTTTCCCAGATGAGACAAGGACACAGTGCTGTCTCGAAGGATGTGGGATCATCCCTCAGTTGCAAGGCACAGATGGCTTTCAATGAAACGGATGGATCAGTGGCTATGTTTGTTGTTTTTGACAGGAAATCAATTTCTCAGGAAGGGTTGGCGGACATAAATGCCCATGACTTCCACCGAGGCGGTTCCAATTAAAACATCGATACCCAACTGGGCAAGGCGTTGCGTGGCATTCGGCGTCGACTCAGGCGGAGCCCCGGCATTGCGCGCGCCTGGGCCTCGCTTACGTGGCCAAGGTGGAGGAGGAGACATGGGAGTCCCATGCTTGGCGTTTCCGTTTCGCCGCAAGAGGTACCTCCGGAAGGTTTTCCATGGAAAACCTGGCACTTGTAGCCCTACCTGGAAGCAGCGGACTTGGCAAAAAATAGGGCACTCAAAAAACAGATGGGGAAACAAGGTATGCAGAAACAGGGGGTTCGAAAATGGACTTCGGATTTCCCTTCACTGTGTCTCTTGAAGATCAATTGCCAAAAGCCAAGTCCGATTTTCCCACGCGACCGGGGCCAATTGGGTGTTTCTCAAGATTAGGGACCCCTCCTCTCCAGGTGGTTGGTTTCCTTTTGGGTTCCCCTGGAAACCATCCAAAAAGGGGCGTGCCTTTTTAGGGGACCCGGAAAACAGTGGTTTTCCTTATGGCGCCAATGAACCACCAAAACAAGAAGAGCTACCAACTCAAGCGAGAGCCGAAAGGTCTCGCACGCAAACGCCGCAGGAGCTGTCATTGCCCGGAAGCGCCAAGGGCACGCCCACCCGCGCCAAGCTGCTCAGGCGTGGCGATGATGTGAAGCCGCCGACGAAGGAGATTATTTTACCGCAGCGAAAACAGTGGGTATTTGGAATAGGGTAAAGTTCATGAATCCGAGGCTTTGCTTCTAACCAGAGCGATTCGGCCGGAAACACCACGAGGTTGCAAACCGAGGGCCTGCTGCAAGGTGTATCAGGGCTCATTTGTTCCGTGCTTTAAAACCATGGTCCATATATAAAGAGCATTGTATAAAAGAAGGTGAACATGTCCAGGCTGGGGACTGTGGTAGTGTACTCTTTGTTTAGTGATTTTGAGGTTTGATATCTTGAGCATGTTGTACTCTAACGATTTTGAAGAGTGTTTGTAACTGCGAGTTCCTCTACATTACATCAATTGTTGTACCATGCTGCTAGTTGCTGCTGTTCATTCAAGCCAGAGTTAGCATCTTTGGTTTCATTCCTTTTTGGCATTATAATTGAATTATGTTTGAAACAGAATCCAGTGAAATGGCAAGCTGGTCGTTTCTTCTAATTTGCCTGCCCACGCCTGCCCTGCAACAGGAGTGAACAAGGAAAAAGGACTGCAAGAAGGAAAGTAATGTCAGTTCTAAATTTGTTTTACATTGCAACGCGTTATGTTTAAAATCAATGCTTTGAAGCTTTTTAAGTAGGAATCAATTGAACCTCTTGTTTTGAATCATGATTGAAGCATGAGTTCCTTTCCAAGTAGAGTTTTAATTAGGACTTAACTAGGATCGCATAAGGGAACAACAGCTTGCTGTTTCTTCTAATTTGCAAACAGGAATTCCACACCAGTAAACTCCAATGGAACGTGCAAATTCCATTCCAATCGCTTTGCATGTTTTAAATTGCAAGGCTTAAGTTTAAATGGCATTTCGATTAGAACTCAGTTTAAGGTCTTATGTTGCATCATAGTTTAAACAGTACTTCCCTTCCGAATAGAATTGCAATTCGATTTGATTAGAACACAATTTTTAATCTAGATGTTGAATTGGTATTTCTTTCCAAAGATGAGTTCAATTAGAGTTTATTTAGAGTCATGATTTTTATGATTTTGGATTATATTTTAAACACGAATTCCTGTAGTCCAATTATTGATAAGATTTCCTTTCCAACTATGACTTTACTTAGAACTGAATTACAGCTCAATTATGATTGGAAAGACAAACTGGTTGCTTCTTCGACTTAAGTCAATTACAACTTGTATGTTTTCATAATCTAAATGCAAGTTGATAAGGAAAGACAGGCTGATTGTTTATTCTAGTATTTTAAATAGAATGATCACATTTAATGATATGTCATAGGACGTAGTTAGACATCTTGTTTCGAATGATGTTTAATAGGAGTTCGTTTCCAAGTAGGGCTTTCGGACTTTCAGCAGAATTCAATTCAAATTCAAATGGAATCTGACAAGGAAAGACAAGCTGGATGTTTCTTTCAATTTGCCTGCCCCTTAAAAGGAGAAATTTAAAAGTCAAGTCAACTCGAGAACCCCAAAGAAACAACTGGGACGAACACAACAATAACAATTTGACAACCAAGAAAAAAACAATACAAAAAACACAACGCGAGACACCCCATGAACTCTTTCAGCATGTACTTCTTCCAAAGAGTGTCCATAACATGTTTGCTGGTTTTCTCGAGGTTTGTGTGTTTGTTTGGTTTTCTCGAGTTGTTCTTTGTTTTCTCGAATCTGTTTTGGTTTTGCTTAAGCTTGTCAAGACTAGCTTGACACACGAGAAGACTGAAAGCCTAACGGGACGCGCGCTACCAGGGTACCAGGGCCCCTTTTCTCTAAATTTCAATCATAGCAAGGGTTCGTTGCCTTGAGCATGCAAAAGCCAGCCATTTCCCCTGGTTTTCTGGCAAGAATTCCTGGACGCCCGATGGACCGATTCCTTTTTTTTCTGGCTTTGTACCCCATGTTTGTGAGCCAAAGGCAGAGAAAAGGGGTCTTTTGGGGAGTGAGGATCCCTGGATGGGGAAGCTGTCCCCAGCTTAAAGCAGGTTGTTTCTCCAACCTACCAGTCAGCAAGAGAAGGAATCATACGGGCCGATCCTTGAGCCGCCAATCCCAGCCACCAAGAGACTGGAGGCTGAGCATGGCTTTGTCTGAAAGCAGAGCCGCACAATGGGCGGTTTCCAGTGGGTCTGTCCTTAAGTCACCGACGCGCGTTCCCCAAAACCAACTTGGCGGCTTGATTTGTGTTTCGAAGGCTACCTTCAAGAGAAAAATGGAAATCAAGTCCACGCCAAGGCTCCAAAGACCCTGCAAATCGCCTCCAAAATAGCAAGGGCGGTCACGCAACAAACCAATTGCTAGCCGTTTCGGGGCTCCTAATTGAGGGTTTTTCAATAAGAAATGTGCCCAATTTGCTTGACTTTGCATTTGAACGGGAATCACACACAGTCTTGTACAAAACAGACAACCTCGTCTCAAAAATCAAGCAACTGCAAAAGTGCCTTCCCCCCACCTCCCCCCCCTCCCCCGTTTTTGAAAAGCGCGTATAAGGGGGGTGTCTAATGGTCCCCTAAAATGCTGTCTTCCGGTGGGTTTCCCTTCAAATGCAAACGCAAAGGGGGTCCAACACGGATGTTCTCAAAATCGACACCTATCTAGGTACCTTTCCTGTCGGTTTCTCGTTCAAACAACCTAACAACAAAAAGTACCATGCTATCAAATGACATGAGAGACATGTCTCATACCCTTTTCGTCCTTTTTGGTGTGGTCCATGGAATTTCAATGGAAGGTCACACGTGTGAAGGCCCAATTTTAGAGTCCGGGATGCCTGTTTTTTTCAGGGTTTTCATTGTGTTGTTGTTTTTTAGTTTTTCCGCCAATCACTGGGACCCGGTAGATAGACCAGCATGGTAAACATGATGATAGTAACAAGACAAGATTCAATCACATGGACTGCCAATGACACAATCTAACAGTACCTTTGAAATGAATATGTTCCATCAGAAGCTCATCGACTCGAAAAGCCAGGAGAAAAAAACAACTCCTTAGTGAATATGTTCCATGGAAAGCTCGACTGGAAAAGCCAGAAATCAAAAAACTCTGAACAACATGGAAAGCCCGGCGAGTGTCCCTTTCCGCCATTTTCGCCAGGTTCATCGAGTCTGAGGGCAGCTCTGAGCTCCTGCCGCGTCTGGAAGCGCTGCACCTCCACGAGGCGATTCCTCACTCCCTGTGAACTCTTGGCTCCCAGCCATCCGGTTCCTTAGCTTTGTTTAGCCTTTTAGTGTTTAGTGGGGTTTTCCATTTACCCCACTAAAAATAAAACTTTGCGAGAAAATTGGCGACCCCCTCAACAAGGAATGCTTCACGGGGGATCGATCATTTTTTGACCAAAGGCGGCAAAAGGGCCCCCCTGTTAATCACTCCCTGTAACTTTGTTGGGACCAATTCTTGTGGCAGCGAGTTTGAACTTTTCCTTGGGCCATTCAGGAAGTGAGCTTCAATGGAAACCGGACCAGTCAATTTGTTCAATTTGAGGGGAAGTCCAGGGACCCTGTTGAGAGTTCCCGACCTCCTGCTTTCTTTGGTGCTTGACAGAGATCCATGGGTTCAGGATGTTAAGTTTTGCTGGTGCAATGGGAGAAGGAGTTGGAATGACCCCAAAATGAAGCATCCTAGCTGGGTTTCTTGGATCCTCGCACCTGAAGTAGGGACTTCACTTAGTGGTGTTTAAGGGAACATGGACCCTCCCTGACACTTTTGTTCATGAATTGTCTTTTTTTACTCGACCCTCTCGCGCTTCAATTTCACTGTGCTGGGGAGTAAACTAAGGGATGTTTCCCATAGACGAGGAAGCCCCTCGCCTTGGGGGGGGGGGAACGCCTGCCTGTTGACTCAGGGTTGTTTAATGCGGTGTCGACGTAGGGGGCCTCGCCATCTACTTTCAACACCCACCGGTGACACGCACGCCACCGATCAGAACCCAGTACAGCAGTCTGCCCAAACTCAGGTCAAGAATCAAAACGGCGGAAAGCGTTCCGCACCGTTTTCTGGTGTCCCACCCTACCATCCTCCCACTGTCTATGTTTTTTAAAGGGAGCCTCAAAATGGCTGGACATAAATGCCTATGTAAATGTCCAAAGGGCCCAACCACTTATTACACGATTATACTATGAGGGCCACAAGTCGAACAGGTTTGCGGGGTACTCAAAACATATGTCAGGTCAATATTGCTGGACAATAACGCGCATAGGTTTGGTTTGCGGGCTAGAATTAGCAAAACAGCATCTCAGTCAGGATGCCAGCAGAAAACAAATAAGAACATGTCAGTCAAGATCACCGCAGAATATGGGAGAATCATGTGCAGTCGTCAACCGCGTGACCCACCCAACTATGACGCGCGCAGCGACTCAGGAGCGGGTGGCTTTGTGCAGCCGTGAGCTCCGGCACCAAGAAGCTCTGCGTGGACCTCGGGACTCCCAGCGACGGGGCTTTTCTGAGCCAAAGGAGGGGGTCAACACCGTCTTGGGATCCCATTTTGGTTGGTGGGTGAATTCACCACCCATTTTAGGCTTCCTATTCTAGTGGTTGGATTGGGATGTTTGGGGGTCCGGGGTTTTGACCCATAGCCATGTAAGTGTAAGGGATGAAACTGTAAGGGATGCACGCTCCCAAAAACAAGCAAGGGACCTGTTGTGTCCCCGGGCGGATTGCCCAGCGGTGCTTTTCAGGTTCCATGTTTGTTTCTGGGAGGTTCCGGGAGATAAAAGAAGGCCAAGTGGAGATCAACCAGGTGCTCCTTTTGGTTTCCCTTTAGAACCACCCCAAAAAGGGCACCAACAAAACAATACTTAGGTTGTGTATAGTTGATGTGAGTCCTTTGTTTTATGTTTCAAGGATGATTTGGATTATGTGCAGCACCAAAACTGGATTGCGTGCTAAGACGACATGACCTCGCCTCTAGCTTCCTGACTTCGGGATCCTGCCAATCCAAGGCCACTGAGTGAAAACCATCCTTTAAATTGGCAGGATATGCTTGTAAACGTATATACATATACACTTAAACAAGTATATATAATATGTACGTATGTACATGTATATATACATAAGCCACAATTTGTGTGTTGCTGCCAAAACACAAAAACACATGTTTTTCTTTTTTGCACGTTCATGTGCCACGCAATCCTCCCTTTCCGCTCGGCTTGTTTTTTTCTTCCCTCAGGCGAATCTTAGCGTTGGACTTGAACGACCTGGCCCGGGCAGAAGTGTATTGCCGACTGGTCATGGCCAGGTGCCGGCTCGGGGCATGTTGGATGGTGGCTGACACTCAAACTTTACATAATTATTCATTTGGCAAAGGAATTTATGTTTTGGAACAACGTCAAAAGTGGTTGGGGGATATGAATCCCCAAAGGGCGCGCAATTAAATAGTCTCCACACACACACACACGCGCTTTGCAAATTAGTGGCTAATGCGTTGTTTTACCAAATTCTTCAGGGAATTGATATCAACAACATGCACACTGAAAGTGATTCCGATTGGCAAGGCCTCTTTTGTAGGGGCCTGCAAAGTAGACGCTTGAGGACATATTGTTTGTTTGTTTTTTTTGGGGGGCTATTTTTTAATCGGGTTCTGGGGGCCTTTGGGAGCCTCTCACTGTTGTCAAACAGCCAAATGGTCGAAGTGACCGGTGGTGGCTACTCCTCTACAAATGAGGAGCTTTCTCTACAAATCCGTGGTTTCTTCAGCTTGTTACTTGTTGCTTGCCACTTGCTTGAGGTGAGTTTCTTGCTTGGTGAGGCGAGCCCCAGACAGTTGGAGAATGGTGGGGAACAGTCCCAAACATGGGTCAGGCCGGTCAGGCCCAACCAGCAAAAAGAAGCTGTTCGTCCTTTGGATTCTTGGCGTGTTTAGGGGACTCCTGTAGATGGGAGGCCTCTGAATCTCTGAGTGCCATGGATCTGGTTTTTGAGGGCACCCTTATCGTGGTGGTTGTGAGGGGAGATCAGAGGGAAACTACCCACTTTGACTACATATCCATGGTTGTGGAACATGGGTTAGGGCACTGCCGTTTTGTAATTTATATATATATATATGTATATGTGTATATGCATATATATATAGAAAGAACAACATGCAACAGTATACATGAAAAACACGGGAGTGTTAACCACTTTGATGTCACAGAAAGGGCACCTTTCCGCAGGATTATACTGGATATGCCCCTCCGGTGGTCACGGTTTGTGTCTAACACGCGGTTCGGTGGTGGAACGCCCCCTCCCAAGTGTTCACCTGAGTTAGGTTGGTTTACATTTGGTTTGGGGTGGGTTAGGGTTGTTGCAGGGCTGCTCAGGGTGGTGGCAAAGAGTTGCTCCGGTTGGTCGAGGGATGCTTCGGGGTTGGTTAAGTGTTAGAAATGGGTGTTGTTTTTAGGGTTGGTGTGTGATTGTTTATGGTTGCTTACGTAGGGTGGGCTCAGAGCTTTTTAGGACAGGCTTAGGCAGTAGGGTGTTAGCTTGGGGATGGTGTTAGGCTTTGTTAGGGGTGGCTTTGTGTTTGTTCAGGGACGCTTTGTCTGTTTTTGTGGGGATACGCTTATACACGGCACAGGAGACACCATCCTGCAGGGGAATCCTTATGTGGGGGGGGGGTCTTTTTGTTCTTGTGATCTTGACTCTGAGGTGGATTTGATTCCCTCAAAATGCGGCCGAAAAGGGAGCGAGGGGTCCCCAATTTAGGAGTTGTTATTCCCTCAAGCGGACGGCCAGTTTTGGCACACGCCCCCCCCCCCCCAAGAAAAAGCAAAACACAACAGGGAGAACATGTAGGCCATAGATGGGGTCAGCCCTCAATCCCACCCCTCACGCAGGGCGACCAGCGAGGCGGGTGGAAGGGTTGCCGCTGGGGGCAGGGCAGGGCTAAGGCGCTGCTTTGCACTTCAACAAAGAACAAGGCTCACGAGAAGCGCAGGCTGACACGAGCCAACCAGTCTTTGGAGCTGATCATCTTCTCAATGGGTCCCCCAAACACCTTTTCTTGAGTGCGGTTGCGTGGCCGTGTGTGGCCGTGCGTGAGGACGTGAGTGGATGGGTGGGAGAGTAAGTGGTTGAATGAGCGGGTGAATGGGTATATGTGTGTCTTTCGCTCAAGCAAATTCAATCAGGGATTTCAAGAGCCACGTCGATATACTTGTTGGTGTCTTTGATGGTTGCAACGTTCTTCGTCCTGGGTATGTCCCATAAATCGTCAATGCCTGCATGTTGCCAGCTGTCGGTTCTTTTCGCTGCCAGTTTGCTTAGAATAAATATGACACTGACTTTTGTTGGTCCTAATCATTGTCCGTGTCCTTTTCAGGGGGCCCCAGAAATGGTGGTTGTCCTCTTCCTGCAAGCCAAGCCAAAACGGACACGCAAGGACCTCTGGCATGCACTTGTCAACGATGGGCAACTGGCGCGTTTTACATCCCCAGTGGGGGGCAAACTTGGGTGGGGGACTCAATATGCAGGGAGAACATATCGAGCAAATCAATGTTAGGATCTACGTGGGTCTGTCTTTGTTTGAGGGTACTGGTTTTGAAGGGAAACCAAGAGGAAAACCACAATTTTGAGCCGTCCACACGACAACGCGGCTTACCACTTGTTTAAGGGTATGTCTCACATGCTGGGAAACCCCCAACGTTGATTTCCTCTAGTTTTCCCCTTACCATGCAGTGCCCGTGCCTACCTGGATTGCGGGAAAAGCAGACGGAACCCATGCCTGAAATTCGGGCTCCAGGTGGTCAAGTAAATCTGAGTTGTCTTCCCTGGGACTTTGTTAACCTTCTTTCGTTTTCCCCAACAGCTGCTATGGGGTTTGTTCCCACAGATGTCCGGAAGGTGCTGGAAGGGTCTTCGATGAGTTCTTTCCCTCGCGGCTCGATAGGGTTCCCGTGGCTTCTGGATTTTTCTACTCCAAACAGCGGTTCCCTTCCCCCGTCTTTGTGAGGCAGATCCATTCTGGTGTACCAATATTAGACCCAATGACCAATAAACTCCCCCCCCGAAAGAATAGTAAGAACGCACAAAAGACAAAGACAAGACTGTATGCCAATACATAGACCCCCCAAAAAAAAAGAGAAGAAGAAAGAGAGCGGCCCGCCATGGGGCCTTTGCTTTTGAAATCAGCATTTTTTACACCTTGGCGTATGTGGATGCACCTTTCTTGCACATGCGGTCTTTGGTGATTCTTGGAGAAGGCCACCCACTGCAGGCATCTTTCCCCTCCCTGCTTTTTGGCAATCAGTGTTCTCCAAGGATTCCCTTGCTATTCCCTTAGTCCCCCTAAAAGATCCTCAGAATTCCCCCAGTATTCCCCTAATTAGCACCCATCTCTCTCCCCAGCGTTACCCCAGTGTGCCTTTGTTATTTTCTGAGTATACCCCTAATATTCGCTCAGTATTCCCCTAATGTTCCCCAATAATTTTCTTGGTAGTTCACTAGCATTCTCCTGGTAATCTGTGTTCCCCCAGTAGTCCTCCATCATGCCCTCGGTATTCCCAACAAGTTCCTTTAGTTCTCTCTTGTTATACCCTCTAGTATCTCCTCAGTGTTCCCCTAGCAGCTGTTCCCAAGTATTTGTTCAGTACTCCCCTTTTGTTTCTCGAGTATTCACCCTTTGTGCTTCCCTAGTACTCCCTTACTATACCCCTAGTATTCCCCTTATCATTCCCTGGTACTCCCCGAATATTCCACGCATATTGCCTCATAATATTCTCTGTATTCTCGTGGTATTCCCCTAACTCCTTCTGTATTTTCTTGTATAGCCCAAATCTTCTCTCAGTGTTCAAGTGTTCCCCAAATATTCCTTCAATCTTCCCCTTAGCAGCTTCTTGGTAATTCCCTACCAGACCCCCTGTATTCCCCTCAGTATTCCCCTACTATTCCTCTAGTATTCTCTTGGTGTACCCTCTAGTATTTCCTCAGTGTTTTCCGAGATTCCCTTAACATTCCTCAAGTAGTCTGTATTCTCCTAGCATTTTCATTGCATTCACTAGTGTTCCCTTAATATTCCCCTAGCACTCCCCTTACTATTCATAGGCCCCTATTCCTTTAGAATTTATTTTACCCCTAGAGTTGTATTCCCCTAGTATTCCCCTAATAGTATTTCTTTAGCATTCCCCTAGAATTGTATTCCCCTAATATTTTTCAGTATTTCTTAGTATGTTCTTAGTATTCTCCAAATATTCCCCTAGTATTGCCCCAGCATTCCCCTTTGTACTTCCCCTGGTATCCTGCATCTGCGCTCCAGTTTCTGAGTAGCAAAGAATTAGGGAAACACCGAGGGGATAATAAGGGAATACCAGGGGAATAACAAGAGGAAATGCTAGGAGAATACTAGAATACTGGGAGAGAATTCTACAAATAAACTGAGCAAATACTAAGGAATGCTGGGGTTACTGGGGGAATAGTGGGAGAATGCTAGGGGTATTCCAAGAAAATACTAAGGAATACTAGGACAATATTAGGGAAATACTAGGAGAATACAACTACTAGGGGTGAGATAATGCTAAAGGAATAGATAATACTGTGGGGAATGCTAGGGGAATATTAAGGGAATATTAAGGAAGTATTGTGAATATTAGGAACATACTCGGGGAATATTGAGGAATACTAAAGGAATACTGGGGAGTGCTGAGAGAACACTAGGGGCAAGAGAATATTAAAGGAATATGGCAAGATTTAGGGGAATATTAAAGGAACAATGATGACTCTTCAGGGAATAGTAAGGGAATGCTATTTAATGGAACACTGAGACAACACGAAAGAAATACTCGGAAAACACTGAGGGGACAATGCGGGAAGTGCAAAAACCTTGAGAAACCGAACAAAAAAAGCAACAGAAAAACAATCCTCCGACCAAAACCTGAGATGTACTGGTCATTTCCCCCAAGGGATTGTTTTCTTTTTGTGGTTGTCTCGATGTTTGTTGGTTTTCTCGAGGTTTGGGTCACATGTCCTTTTCCAGAGTACATGGGAATGGTGTACTGATGCGTGTTGTTCTGAGTTTTTCTGGTATTTCGCAAACGCAGGCCCCATGGCGGGCCCTTCTGAAAAAAGAACACCAGCGACATGGTGATTTTGCTTGGCTTCCCCTATTTCGCCAAGCGAGGGGTACCCTCAAAGCGAGAGGTCCGGCTCTCCGTGTTCAGCGCCGAGCTGCCTGCCTGGGCTCGCGGCATCGTCTTCGGGCGCGGAACCCATGGCGCGTTCTTCGGCTGTAAGCCGACCTTTCTGGGGAGGGGGGGGGGGGAAACAGGAAAGCGTCCCCTCCCACATGCGAGAATTGCGGCCCTTTTGCAAAATAGCCGATGTCTTTTTTTTTGGGGGGGAGAAGAACCCATGGATTGGGGGGGGGGGACAGAAACATAGCCAACAAATGCAAAATCCCAGTGTTTCAAAAACCCACCAACCCCCCCATGAGGGGCCCCTTCTGTAGCGTTTCCTCAGGGGGTTGGGTTTGGAAACCCGTGAGATGCGCCAATTTCAAGCCCCACATGTGACAATTGCGGCCCTTCTATGTGATAGCTCAGAATTCTGGGGAACCCATGGATTGGGCGAAGTTTGGCCCTTGAGTTCAGCAAACCGACCATTCGTAAAATAGCCCATGTGGTTGGATTTAAAGAAAAGCCAATGGGCCAAAAGGGGATGTGGAAGTGTCTTTACTTTATTCAGACCCCCTGTGTAGCATCCGACTCTTCACTTTGGACTTGTTGATGCTTGTTTTTGCCTTGTTTGGTCTATGTTTAGTCCATGTTCCACAGTGACAACCTTTTGCAGCCTGGTCAGGTGACTTAAAGTGGTTGGAGGATCCCTGTAAAAACAACCACTTACCAAATACCAAATCAACTCGTATTTTGCGGGTCCATTGAAGTGGTTGCAGTTTTGGTGTGCAAACATGTTACTTTAGAGGGGGACGAACACTCCTATTTAGGGGCTATGTTTGAGGATGTCACTGAAATGGCCAGGATCATTATTGCCGGGTCAATATTGCAAGTCAACATGGAGCCCAAAAAGGGGTCCCCAAAAGGCGGTTCTTCCACAATCGGGCTCGCCTTTTTGAGTCTCTCTTTTGAAATATGGCTGGAGCCTCCCATGGGTTTCGGTGAACGTCCACTGGCCGAGGTACATCTGAGGGAAGTCTTAACCTCTGAACCCCAAGGGTCAGAGTTTTGTAAACTGGACCGAAGGTCGGGACCCCACACCTAGCCAAAATCTCAGGGGTATAAGGAGTCGCTCTTGGCGGGCTTGGTGAAGGTCAACCCTGGAGGGGCCAGGGGCAATTGCCTTTATCGAGCATACCCCACCTGCAAAGATAATGAAACTAAAGCAATTCAAGGATGTTTAAGCAATCTGACCGTTTGGAGCTCTTTCCAAAGCGCGATGCAGACAATGCGCAGTCATGACAAAATAACAGGCTTCTTTGCTTGCGGTGCAGTCAGCGGACAGAGGCTCGGCATAGCGATCTCAATCTGCTCATGGACAAGGGTCAGCCCTTCAAAGTGTTCGCGGCCAAGACCGGGGCTAGTGCAGGGTCTTGGAGGAATTCAGGGAGCAGGGACCTGTGTTGAACTGTGGTGGTGTATCATGTTTGCCAGACAAACGTTTGCCCGCGGCAGCCACACCCACAACTATTTCTACACCCGAAATAGTCCCAACTGAACCCTAAACTCTTGGGGTGCATTTGGGAACATGTTCCAAACAATAGGTTGGCTCAGACCTGCTTACTGCTTAGATGGTTTCACTTTTACTTTGGGGTGCAAGGCGCCCACTTTGGGATTCCCAATCCAATTTTCTCAGACTTCGCCATTAGCGAGATGCGAGGTTCCCACTTTAGATTCACTCCGACCTGCCAACATACCTTTTGAGCATACATGGGAGGCCCTGTGAAAGGAATGTTGATGGGACGGATGGGTATGCTCAAACGGTATTAACAGGTAGGTGGAGGGTTCTTGGGTACACAAAAAGGATTTTCCCACAATCATGGGATGGGGTGCTCAACATGCATGTCCATATTCTGAAGTTGTGCTGAATTGTTTGCGGCCAACCCCGAACCACTTTTTTTTTATCTACTACCTTTTGGCTTCAGTTTACGCGGTGCTCCAATCTTTCAACTTTGTGGTTTTTCCTTTTGTCCATTTTGTTGTCGCGGCCCCAAAAAGTTAGCAAGAACTCAACTATTTAAAGGGTCCGGTTGCTTCCGCCACCATTTTTCCCCAACCAAACCGCCAGTTAGAGCAAGGACCCCCCCACCCCTAGCGCAACGGCAGGCCAAAGAAGCCGAGTACACACAGCGACGACAAGGAGAGCTTCCGGAAAGTGACCGATTGGTCCTAAGTCCTATGCAGTCCCACGAGTCTAAGACTCAAGATCGCTACCCCTGCACCCGAATGTTGCTGCACCCAAGGGACATTTGGGGAAATATGTTCCTATGTTCCTTGAAGTCAAGTGCTGTGGTTTCGCAAAGCCGGGTTGAATGCTGCCAGAATGTACAGAAGTGATTTACAAGACAAGCCATGCGGCTGAGACTGCCAGACAGCACCTGACCAGTTGCACAGGGCTCCTGAAAAAACAACAACATGGCCATTGGAGACATAGCCTATTCTTCCAGACCGAGAGGACACCACCATTTGTTTTTGACGCGGAGGGGCGGGGGGAATGTTCAGGATCTCATCACATCTTAACGGCTCAATATCGGTGTAGCCCCACGTCAAGCGGGGAAATCATGACACAGGCATGGTGGACATCTCATAATATCGTGTATATATGTGTATATAGAAATATATAGATATGTATATGACATGTACATTATACATGTGTATGTATATATATATATATGTCTAGGTGACCAAGTATAATTACATGTACATATATATATATATGTATAGAGCGAAATATAATCATATGTTTTCCTATGCCTATGTACGCGCGGATAGCTCGATTACTCTTTGATACGGCCGAACCAGCCCTTTAACCGGTTGGATCACTGATTACAAAGAAGCTGTTTCACTGTTGAAGGGGGAAGTTGAAACATGTGATACAGGTGCACAAACACATATACATACATATATATATATATATATACATTGCTTTCCCCATGCACTTTCTGACTTCGGTGTGTTTTTGATTGTGAATGCAAATTCTTTATCAAGTTCCGTGTGTGTGTATACATATGTCAACGGTGGAGCACACTCATGTGTCTTGTATCGCAGCGGACCTTTTTGGACATCGAGCTGATGCAGGTAAAAGAGCCGCATCGGGTAGGCCCTAGGTAGGGCCAGGCAGTTTTGATATTGGTAGCGGAGCCCGGGCTGTCCCGGGCATCCGAAAAGGGTCGCTTAGGTGAGCGACCGTGCAACGGTGGAGCCATGGAGGAGCGGGGCGTGCGCCGCTTCAATGGCGAAGAAGATGATCCTGGCAAGCAGCTCAAGCGATGGAAGGCTTGGGCACAGGCCAAGATGATCACCATGAAGGACCTCAGCCCCAAGCAGCAAGGACCCTGGCTTCTCACTCTGCTCGAAGGTAAAGCTTGGGACGCTGTGGAACACCTGGAACTGAATGACCTCCACCAAGAAGGAGGTGCCGAGATGCTCTGGCGACTGCTTTCCGAGCGCTTCCCTGAGAAGGAGCCCCACGATCAGATGGGCGAAGCCCTTGGAGAGGTTTTTGCTCTTGCTGCCGCCGATAGTGAAACCATGCAGTTCTGGACGTCCCGCGTGCAGGAAGTCTTCCAGAAATGCTTCAGGAAGGCCCAGGTGAAGTTCCCCTCGGAAGCTCAAGGCTGGATCATGCTGCACTGCGCCGGACTCAATGAGGAGCAGAAGGCGATTGTGAAGGCAAAGACTCAAGGGAACTTGGAGAGTGAGAAGATAGCAGCAGCTTTGCGGTCTTGCTTTCCGGCCTATCGAGCATCGTCCTCCAAAGCAAGAAGGCCAGTGTCTACGCTTGTTGTCGAGGAAGATGGAAACTGCATCGGCAATCCGGATCCTGATGAGGACTTTCTCGACGTCGAGACTTTCCTTGCCGACCACCAACAGCACTCTGCAATGGAGGATGAGACCATCCCCGAAGCTGATGCTGCCGAGGCGCTAGCTGTCAGCTGGAAGGACCGCCGGTCAGAAATCAATAAGCTGCAGCAATCCCGGAAGTTTGGGGCGGTCAAGGATGTTCGCAGGTCCTTTCGCATCGAGGTTGAGGAGCTGAAGAAACGCACCCAGTGCCGCAAATGCGGCCGGACTGGTCATTGGGCCAGAGAATGCCGAAGCACGACCAACGCGTCATCCTCGTCCAAGCCGTCGTTCAGGTCCTCGGCCAGCAACCGGGAGCTACCCCCTTCTGCTGCAGCCGATGTGCATCTGGCTGAAACTGGATCAGGCGGACCCGTGGCGGAGGAAGAGGAGGACGTGATCTTCATAGGGGCGGCCGAGATCTTCAGCATGGATGCGGAGACCGAGGGAGGCCTGGTGTCATCTCCGGGTTACGGCGTGATAGACAGCGGCTGCGGTCGCACTCTGATCGGTCGCTCCACGCTGGACAAGCTGCAGGTTCAGTTGACCAACCTTGGCCAGGACGAACCTCTGCAGTACCCCCACGAGAACGTTTTCCGGTTTGGGAATGGCCAGACAGAGACTTCTCTCATGTCTGTCCGGATCCCTGTGGGCATTTGCAAGAGATTCGGGTACATCGATGCTGCGGTGATCGAAGGTCGAGCTCCACTTCTGCTAGGACGTCCGTCCTTGGAGAAGTTGGAGGTTGGATTGGACTTTGCCAATCGCCGGATGAACCTGCTCAAGCAATCGGAGTCGGTACCCATGGTGACCAACCAAGCTGGACAGCTTCTGGTGAACATTCTGGACTTCCCCAGTGCTGAGGCCTGCGCCAGAGCCAGGAGCAAGTGTGCACTGCAGGCTCCAGCCACTAATAAGAGTTCCCCAAGTAAGCCTGCTCCGATAAGCCCAAGTGACAAGAGTTCCGAACCAAGGCGTGCCAGTCACCCGAGAGACCAACCGGTGATCAAGTGTACTCCTCCCCGTGAAAAATCCAAAGTTTCGCTCAAACGCAAAGAGTGTCGATGTTTGCTCGCCCAATTCCGCAGGTGCGAAATGAAGAGCCGCAGCCGGGTGGCTGTTGCTGAGCTGTTCTCACCGCCTCGTTTTGCAAAGGCAGCTAAGCAGATCGGTCTCGACGGCCTGTCATTTGATATCCAACAGGGCTGGGATCTTTTGGACCCCTCCGTTCAAGAGGAAGTTGATGCCATGTTGGATGAAGCTTGCCCTGAGTTGTTGGTTGTGTGTCCCCCGTGCACTTACTGGGGCGGATGGGATAACCTCAATCAATATTTCAGGACGGCCGCCGAGCGAGCTCGTCTTATCCGCATCGCTCGCCAGCAAGTCCGATTTTGCGAACGTCAGATCCGAAAGCAGCTTGATCGTGGTGGAGATTTTCTCTTCGAGCATCCCCTGAGGTCCCGTGTATGGAAGAGTCCCATTCTTGAGTATTTGGTATCCAAGTTTGGAGTGAACCGCATCGACATGTGTGCTTTCGGGTTACAATGTCCTGACTCGCATCGACCTATCCAGAAGCAAACAGGCTTGATGTTTTCCCGATCCGAGTTGGCTAGAGTGCTGAAGTTGTGCCCCGGTTGCCCTGAACATCAGACCATCGCAGGTAGAACGCAATCAGGACAACTGTTGAGCGCCTTCACTGCCAGCTACACTCCCAAGTTTGTACGGTCCTTTCTACTGGCAAGTGTTCCCACAGCCCTGCAAGCTCGGGAGATTGCCTTAGCGGACCTTGATTTGGAGTGCCTTGCAGCTGATGCTCCAGCAAGTGATCAGGAAGAGCAGCAGGATCACTCTCGCATCGACGCTGCCCTCAAAAAGCTGCATAGCAATTTGGGGCACCCCTCTCAAAGGGAGTTGATTCGGGTCCTCAAGCACAGCCGAGCAAGTGATCATGCAATTGCTCGAGCGCAGCTGCTGCAGTGCGCCGTGTGTGCAAATCAGCACCGCCCAGCTGCCGCCCTGCCTGCTAACGCATCTCGTGTTACGGAGTTCAATGCTAAGGTAGGCATGGATGTGAAGTACCTGCCAGGATGGAAGCCCAACCAGAAAGTCCCATGTGTTAATCTTGTGGATTTCGCCTCTTCCCTGCAGGTCATCATTCCCTTGCACAAGCCCGAAACAGGACCCCTGTTGCGTGATGCCCTTCAGGATTTCTGGATTGGCTGGGCCGGTCCCCCCAAAATGTTAGTCATGGACCCATCCAAGCCAAATCTCAGCGCATGTCTGGGCGATTTCTGTAATAACCTTGGCATAGAGGTAAGCTTCACCGCAGCTGAAGCGTCATGGCAACTGGGCAAGGTTGAGCGGCATGGTCAGTGGTTTCAGCGAATTCTGCAACGGGTTCTTGATGATGTGCGCCCTGAAACCCTGGAATCCTACCGAGAGTGCCTCTCCCAGACTCAGTCAGCCAAAAATACCTTGTTGTCTGAAGCAGGTGCAAGTCCTTATCAACTTGTGTTTGGTCGCAATCCCAGAGTGCCACAGGACTTGTTGCAGGATCATCCGCATGTGCCCGCTGTCGATGCCACAGAGCATGATCCCGTGTGCTCGCAAGCGCACAGTGTTCGACAGGTAGCTCGCAAAGCGATGCTTGAGTGCCAAGATGACCGAGCCTTGAGGGCTGCCCTCCGTGCAAGACCTCGCCCGGCCAGAGACTTCCAGTCCGGCGATTGGGTCTACTACTGGCGAAGTCAGAAGTGGATAAATGGAGTTAAGGTCGATGGGGGTCAATGGTATGGTGCTGCCTTGATTCTAGGCAAGCTGGGTCGCAATCTAGTAGTCGCCCATCGCCGGAGCATTCTGCGGTGCGCTCCGGAACAGTTGCGTTTTGCAGTGCCGGAGGAGAAGATCGTGGCTGAATTCTCAGAAAATGAGCTGTTGGGAATCCGCAACCTCCTTGAAAAGGGGCAGTTTCCTAAAAGCCAGTTCATAGATCTTGTGATGCAGCCTGCTCCTCCTGTACCTGAGACCGTAGATTCTCCCAGGCCTGAGAGACCAAGTGCCGGCCAGACAGCAGCCCAGCTTCTGGCATCTCAGCAAGCTGCAAAACTCCGTGATGCGCCCAGTGGATCCGATGGTAGTCGACCAGAAAATTTGGGCCCCGGTGAATATTTGCAACAGACCCAAGCTGCGTCAACCCCAGGAACTGTGAGCCCTGAGCCAAAGTTGCCTCCTGGCTATGGACCAGTGCGAAGATGTCGAGGTAAGCAATCGGATCCTCGGGACACTCCTCTCAGCCGTCCTGACGAGGAGAAATTCGAAGACTTCGCCGAAATGATGCAAGATCTAGTGCCCAGATTGCTGCCAGCGACAGTGGAGTCGTCACCCACAGCCGGAAAGGCTCCGGCTAGTCCAAGAACTTCCGCCAGTAAGCGAGAAGCCAGTGCCGAGCCCCCTGAAGCACCGGATGTAGCTAGACCTCGAGTTGAGATTGAAGATGAACTCATGTGTCAGCTTGAGGATTCAATGCCTGGTCGTTCTCCCATTGAAGTGCTCTTGGCAGGTTTCTTGCAGAAACGAGCACAGAAGGAGCTGCCTCCAAGCGGAAATCCTGAACCTCTCCAGGAAGCCGTAGATGAAGCCCGTAGCACTGAATGGGAAACCCTCTCCGGTAAGGGTGCTGTCAGAGTGTGGGTCGGTCAACACGCTAAGGGCCTAGCCAAGCGTTTTCCCAATCGTTTTGTCGGTAGCCGGTTTGTGATCACTCAAAAATCGGATGAGGAAGGAGACCGCATCAAAGCCCGGTGGTGTCTGCAAGGACACAAGGACCCAGATGTCCGAGACAAAGTGTTGTCTGGGGCCTGCCATAGTCCGACGCTAGGTCAATTGTCCCGTGCCCTCATCCTTCAAATCTTGGTAAGCAAGAAGTGGACCATGTGCCTAGGGGATATCAAAGGTGCTTTTCTTGAGGCTGGTCCACTTGATCAAAAGTTCCGACCTCTTTTTGCACAGCAGCCACCAGGGGGGATTCCGGGAATACCCCATGATGCCTTGATTGAAGTGTTGGGAAATGTTTACGGACAAAATGATGCGCCTTTCAATTGGTACCGCACCTTTGATGAAGCCGCTCAGCAAGTAGGTTTTCAAAAGAGTCAGTTCGATAACTGCTTGTACTTCTTCCGGGATTCCACTTCCACGTTAAGTGGAGTGCTAGGTGCGCATGTGGATGATACCATCACTGGAGGAGAGGGTGCTGAGTTTGAAGCCGCGATCGCCTCATTGAAGCAACGCTTTCCCTATCGCAAGTGGCGCATTGGAAACGGTGAATTCTGTGGGACCATGTACACTCAGGATCCCCTATCCAAAGAGATCACATACCAACAAGCCGACTATGCCAAGCATTTGAGACCCATCAGCATGAGTCGAGATCGCCTTGCGAACAAGGAGGCCATTGCCTCAAGCCGAGAAGTAGCCGCCTTGAGAGCTGTCAATGGCGCGGCCAATTGGCTTGCTGGCCAAAGCCGACCAGACTTGTGTGTGCAGACGTCTTTCAGTCAGCAGTGCTTCCCCACTCCCAAGGTCAAAGATTTGTTGTATGCCAATCAGCTTGTCCATCGTGCCAGACAGCATAGTAATGTTGAGGTAGTCGTCAAGCATGTTCCTTGGGAAGATCTTCACGTGTGTTTTCACTCCGATGCGGGTTTCAACAATGCGTCAGAACAGGGTACCCAAGCCGATTATGTTCTTGCATTTACTTCTTCACAGTTGGAAGCAAATGAGGAAGCGCCGTGGTCACCCTTTTGCTGGCGATCTTTCAAGTTGCCTCGTGTCGTGGCCTCCACTTTGGCCGGGGAAACGCAATGTTTCTCCACAGCCTGTGGCGTGGCTGAGTGGATGTCATGCATGATTTCTGAAGCCAAGCTGGGTTCCTATGACTTGCGCAAAGGCAACCCCCTTAGCGATCAAACTCGAATCATAGGAATCACGGACTGTAAGAGTTTGTATGATGCCCTGAATAGCTTAAGCCCTTCCACTAAGTCTGATGATAAGCGGGTAGCTATAGACCTAATAATCATCAAGCAAGCAGTGGCCAGGGCAGGTTTGCGTATTCGTTGGTGCCCAACCACTCTCATGCTGGCAGACGGTTTCACAAAGGACCGTGCTGAGCCAGCTGAGCTGCTCCGTGCTGCTCTCCGAATTGGCACCTACCAACTGGCACCCGAGGCCTCAGTCCTTGCGGCAAAACGTGAATTCCGCGAGGGTCTCCAGAGACGCAAAGCTTTGATGTGTCCGCAGAAAGCACCTGGGGAAGGTGCGTAGGTTGAATCAGCTGTATAAGTGCCTGCAAGTCAATGGGGAACTATGAGTAGTTTTTCGGTTTGACAGGTTGTTTGTTTGTTTAATATCTTTAGTTTACTTCAGCATCAGTGCATCTGCATACCTGTGATTAAATCACTTTGCAGCATAGGTTCGCTTGTATATCCCGAGCAGTGGCTCAGTGTGTGCGCACCAGTGTCAATTTGCCCAATCCTTGGTGTCGTGATGTCTTCTCCAAAGCTGTCGCCGGAAGAGATGACCCAGTTCTACCAGACCCTGGGTACGCTCCGCAATGAAGGCCTTCTCCCGGAGGTCTTGCAACTCATCCAGGAGAGCTACAGTGGCATGACAGCTGGCGGCATGACCGATGCCTCCAAACGGCTGAGTGATGCTGCTGACGACACTTGGGAACAGGTGTCTGGCTCTTCGCTCGATGGCGCTGCCTGCGCAGAGGTCTCCGAGAAGCAGTCCCTGAGCTATCCCAACCGCAAGATGGCCAAGATTCCTGGGACGACGTCCAGCGCTGACAAGGATCACTTGTCACAGGCAGACCTTCCTCCTGGAGTCCAGACCTTCGAACAGTGGGGTCTGACCCTGTGTGAGCTTCCAAAAGTGGTTCACCGCAAGCTCAGCTACGCGGAGATCTGGAAGCTGTACCAGGATTCGGACCCGGAAATGTTGACCTACGTGAAGTTCATCCTGAGCCATCGTGGCTCTTCCATCAAGGTGCAAGATTTGGCCCGCTATCTGAGGGCCATGAAGTCGGAGAAGCCCGCAGTGATGTATCCGAACAGCACCGAGGTGCGAAAGTTCAAGAACTGAGCCGAGGCCGGGTCCCTCTTTTTTTTATACATAGACGAGTGTCAACGGTGGAGCACACTCATGTGTCTTGTATCGCAGCGGACCTTTTTGGACATCGAGCTGATGCAGGTAAAAGAGCCGCATCGGGTAGGCCCTAGGTAGGGCCAGGCAGTTTTGATACATATATATGTTATAATTGTGTTTGTTATTGTGGCTTATGTATTTAGTTGAAAAATAACAACTATGTATTGAATTATTGAGTTAGTTATGCATGGCTTTATTTGTTTGTCTCGTATTTACTGTTCTCGTTTGTTTGTTTGTTTGTTTGTTTGTTTATTCACATATCGTGTAGGCCTATAGATACACATCAGGCATGATGGCTTTTAGGCTTCCTGGGTCGCTCAGGATCCCGTCCATGGCGAGGCCCGGGTTGTCGGGGATATGGGCAGGAGCTCACCAGAATCAGGTCTCCTCCAATTCTGTTTTTGTTTGGTGTGTCTTGTGAAAGTACCTCTTTTGGCTTGGTTTTAGAGGGAAACCAAAGGGACACCCGGTTTAGTTCCCTCAAAAAAAGCAAGTTGAGGGGGGTGGGTTAAAGATCAGGGAATCTCTAATTTGGTTTGGATTTCAAAGGGAACCGCTGGTTCTTGTGGGTGAATGGGACACCGCCACCAGAAAGCCTCCGAACCACCAATCCAAATCACCAAATCGTTTGTCTCCAGATCGATGGCAGCGGGCACATCAGCAGAGCTGGTTTCGCCGTGCATTACGCACTGCACGAGTACCTGGTTGTTCCAAGTGGGTTATTTGAAGCAGAATTACCAACCACTTACTCCCAGTTGTTCAGTAGCACCCGTTTTCCCTGTTTTTGTTGGTGGCCCCGCTAAAAGAGCTGAACCTCACAAAGGGCCCTCTTTCTACCATGGTCTGTCGGCATGATTTTTGCCAAGTAGTAACTCACTACTTACCCTCAAGTTAAGCGGTTTATCTTGCAATCAGTGCTGCACCATGCTGCACCACTTCGTTCAGCAAAGAATCGTTTGCCTTGCGGTTTCCCGCTAAGAGAGTCGAGCTCAAAAAGGCGACCCTGCTTCTGCCATGGTCTCTGGTTGCAGCTGGGTAGTAAGTACCGAATGGATCGCCTTACGTATATAGTGCGCCGGCAGGGCGAGAGGGCAAGGCCGTTGATGCTGCTCCTGAAGATTCTGCCGGGGCCAGAGGATGGGCGGCAAAGCCACCCTTCACTGGCCGTCTGGAATGAGGTCCTTATATGCGACTTGCTCAGAACACATGATTACTTGGCTTTGGTATATAGGGATGGCCGTCAACCTCTTACTTTGGGTTTAAACAACCAATGTAGCACGTCCTATTTAAACAAACAACAAATACCCTCCCACGAATTTACATGGAACCTGATAGGGGGGGGTCCCTTTAAAACGAAAAATTGTCTTCCAGGACCCCCCTGTCAGGTTCCATGTCAATTGGTGGGAGATTCAGAACAAAAGCACAAAGCAAACACTGGACCATGGCACGCAGAATAAGTCTTGACCATGAGACGTGTCAATGTGTGGACCCATGTTTTTGCTATATGAGCAGCTGACAATATCACTTCCATAATCTTGTAGGAACCCCACCCAACACCGATACATATCAACCTTGCTAAGAACCGATGGCCCACCCAAATCCCATACTCTGATGATATTGTCCGCTGCAAGGGGCAACGACCTTATTTTGACGTGAATCCGGAGAGTATCTTTCGCCTGGTGCATGGTGGAAGCGACCCAAGTCCAAGGGCCAACATGAGGCAAGGGGGAGCGCTTCGATTTATTTCCTTAAGGATCCTCCGTGTGGTTTGTTTCATGTTCTTTCCCTTCAGCCATCCAAAGGAAGTACCCAAGCAAAGTGTTGACGGTGCAGAGACGTGAAAGCTGAAGTCCGAGAGGAAACAAGGGGCATGCCTTTTGTTGGAGGCATGCATGCCCCTTAGTCTTCAGAACCATATACAAAGCCACTCAAAGCCGAAGATGAGGAAAGAACAGTAACATCACTTTCGCAGTAAGAGAAGATTCGAAGTATGTGTTTGTCCGCTTTTGTTTTGGTGCTACAAACAAAAGGCAGCATCACCTTGCCGTTGTTGTTTCGTCCCTGGGCCTTTTGGCTTCTGTTTGACACACCAAAGGTGGGCAGTGTTTTCTTGCAGCCATGCGGGCTGGTCAAAACTAAATATCTCCCGCTCGCTTCACAATGCCGGTGCCTGTTTTGACAACCATGGGGAGCTGGCTCGAAGGTTCTCTCGAACGAAGAGACCGACAAATGAGGTGTGTCTTAAAACAGGGGAACCCCCAAAATGGGGGGTTGTTCTCTGGTTTTCCGCTAAAACCACCCAAAAAAGGGCATCCTCAAAACAAACGCACCCAAATGCCGAAGGTTCGCCCAGTAACAATGAAACAGTGGGCGACTGAACTGAGCACTCAGCTGTTCAAGCGGCCAATCCCGAAGGGTGAGGATGGGTAGAAAGGGGTCCAAGTACCAGAAGTTGTCAGGAGACCTTCTTTGAATCACTGTTTGCCTAGCTACCCCAGTGGTTCCAGTGCAAAGTCTAGCAGGCAACGAGGGGCGACAATGGTATAAATGTCGCAGATGCAAGCGCATTTGGTAAGTCAGCAACTCGAAGAGCTATTGGAAGTCTGGGTATAGCTTGAAAGCCAATTAACGCATGGTCAAAAAATATTGCACTGACTGCCAACTTTGTGGTGAGCCCGCAAGAGGGTTTGACTTGAAATCCGTCATTTCAGGTTTGGGACTCTGTTCAGCCCCTCACAAGTGAGCGTTTTGATCCCAAGGTTGGAGGCGCATGAAGGCGCCGCTGAAAAGCCGGAGGACTACAAGAAGGCGGGCGTGGGAAGCGCAGGACTTGATCCCAGACCTGTGTGCGTTGCGTGGCGTGGCTTGGCTGTGTGTTTTGCTGATGCATTCTCTTTTGGGCTGAGGGTAACCCATGGGAAGCCAACCATGTTGAAAGGTTTTAAGCCCCCCGTTCCCGGGCAGGAAACCAACAAACAGGATGGCGTTTTTCCCCCTTTGGCAAAGCTGGAGGTCTAAGGGGTTCACTGCCCGGCAAAAGGAGACATGATTTGCCCAACAAAAGCTTCGGTCCCTGAACAGTTTCCATTTTGATTAGAGAAGTCCTCACTTGTCTTCGGTACAACCAGACTGTAGCCTTGCCATTTGGAAATGACCGTTCCCCCACTAAATGGCTAAAACCACTTGAGGTTTTGCCGCCTAGGTCAGTTGGACCCAGAAGTTGGTTGTTGTGATACCTTGTTTGGGTAGCAAAGGGAAATTATTGAAAAACGGCTGGCGGTCTACTGGGGTAACTGGGATCCACTGCGTTCTTTGCCAAGCTTGTCGCGGCGAAAGAAGTGTGTCTTTTTGAGTTGGTACCCCTTTTTTGTGGCTTTGAAGGGAAGCCAAAAGGAACACCATTTTAGGGATCCCTTAAAGAGAAACACACCCAGATCTCACAGGTTCTCAAAGGGTGGTTGGTTATTAGTTTCCCCGGAGCGGGGTAGCGCTACCCATACTCTGAATGCACAACATCATGCGCCAGTGCAGGTGGTTCATCCCAGTATTCATGGGGCTTCATATCCATCCAAGCAAACAACGCAACAAACACACATCCAACGCCGACAAAACAAAGATCCCCCCCAGGAGCAAGCATAGCCAGAAACCAAAACGCCTCCCAACAAAAACACAGGCAAAGTAGCAACATGGCAACACAAAGAACCACACCCAAGAAAAGCAAACAACAAAACAATCAAAATAACGAACAAGTACCTACAACCAACAAAATGGAGCCCCAAAACCCCAAGAACCCAAAGCCAACACAGCGAAGAACCGAGCCAGGTGACAGCAGAGTACCGTGAGGCGGCGCTCTCTCTGCTCATGGGCTACGCTGGGCACAGAGATTTGCCCCCCAATGAGGCGTGGGGGACACGGGACGGGCGAAGCAGCGAAGCCGGAGCAAAATGAGTTTGGTTGCTGGTGGTTGGAAGGGCGCCAAAGAGCCGGGGGCCCCCAAGTTTGTCTTGAAAGAGGGAGCTAAGGAGCTACCAGCAGTTAATGTAAGAGCATGGTAATGTGTGTGTGCGCGTTTGGAGCTTCAAAGGGATACAAAAAGGAAAACCAAAGATACTTGTTCAGTTCCGGCTATTGACACCCACACACACCAATTTTGCTCGGGTCCGGGAATCGCTGAATTTGGGTTGACCCTAGTCAGGGCCACTGGGGCGAACTGGCGGTCGAGGGTCAGTTCAGGGACTCTCTAGAATCCCACATCCCAAGGACTCCAACAATTGGCATGTCCACCAGATCACAAAAAAGAAGCAATACGATAGCCCAATACACCTTGCAGAGGGCTTTGAAGTAACTTCATGGAGCCTGGCCATGGTTGAAGTTGCAGGGGTTTTGGGCAGGGATCCAATTGGGTCCATGTATTCTTTGTTTCAATGGATTGGCTTGCCTTTCCTTTTCCTTCCTTTCCTCTCCTTTCCCTCGAAGTCTGGCAAGAATGAGGTCCAACCAGTCTTATGCGGCCGCCACGCTGTGATGTTATATGGGGAAGACCCTCACAACCTGTTTGGCCAGCTTACCACCATAATTTATGATAATTCTGAACAACCTATCCAGTATGGTCAATTTGGAAGCGGCATAGTCACTGAAATGAAACATCAAATCCTTGGAGGCACTCAGCTCCAAAACCAGGCCTTGCATGGAGATGGACCCACGGGGTTGTTTTTTGAGGGTACTCTTTCGGTTGGCTGAAAGGGAAGCCAAAGAGAAATCCACCCATGTTGGGGGGTCACCCTTTTATAACACATACCCATCATAGGACGTGTTCACATGAAGCCTCTGGGGCAAAGCGTTCTAAAACTCCCACCCTGGCAACCCTCTCTGACCCTCGGCAGACAGGTGCTGGGAGTGCTGCCGGCACACTGGTCATTGGAGGCCTCTTTTGTGCGCATGGGTTCTCAAGAGAAACCAACGGCGTTGGTGATTAGGCTTGGTTTCTCTTTGAAACCCCCAAGAAGCGTGCCCAAAAGAGAGACAACTTCGGGCATTCCCAAAAGATTGCAAGTACCTACTGAGGTACCTTGCGCCCAACCCGTCCTCAAGAGACCCGTCAGGAAAATCGCATTAGGCCGCGTATTGAAACCGAATCTGAATAAAATTATGAAGCCAATCCAGGGTAACGCAAACTCACCCAAATAGATTCCGTATTTTGCGATAAATATGGTTCGAGACTGCAATCATATTGGTGCGCCATAGAAAGGGGAGAGATTGCAATCTGCAGTAGCGATCATTTAGTAGCCATCTGAATGAGTGTTGGAACTTGCCACAATGCCATCGGACGTATTGGAGATATGATCTTTTTCAAGACGGTTGCAGCTACTCATATCTTATCAGGGCCTTATCAACCCAGGAGACTGGGGAGATCAACATACGAGGCTGGCAAGTAGGGGGCACCTTTCTGGGGAATTCTAGCCTGGGGGGGGGGGAACGGGGGGTGCTTAAAAAATCCCTGGACGTATGATTAGTTGCCAAGCCCTACGTGTTTGAGCCATTGGTTAGACGGTTAGACGCTCTCTTGCTTTGTAGTGCATTCAGGCAAATCTGATTTGGCTCTTGTCGTTTGCCTTTTTCATTTGGTTGCAAGCTGCGGATTGGACGACAATAAGCCAACCCTCAGGAATCCCCTTGTGACTAGTTCGTTTAGGGTGTGTTTTTTCGAAAAGGGGAATCTAAGTCCAACTTTATTTCCCTTTACAAGCTAGTCAAATGGTGAACCCTGAGGTCGACATCTTCTTGTCATACAGGTGCCCGGCAAAGAATGGCACATATTGTTTGATCTCGGGATATGATGTAGGACCTTGGCAGATTGAGTTCTTTCACTGGTCAACAACTGAACCCTCTGCACTGAATTCATCCCGAAAAGGTAGACCATGTGTTTCCGTCTAAGTGGAAAGCGGATCTTGCACCAAGTATACCGGCGAAACGCCTGGGATCGGCTGGGTTTGCAAGGACGCGATGACGCTATCTGAGGGTCTGGGATCTGAGGGTCTGGGAAACCAGTGTGGAATCTAGCGATTAGATGTGGCTTTTCAGGAAACCTGTCCAATGTCATCAGGATGTGCTGTTCTTTTGACGGAGCCAAGCATTATTTGCTCAAGGAGATTCCCTTGTGTCAGTGGAAGGGAAGGCCAGAATTTGATTGGTATTGTAATTACTGTCGGAATATGTTCTCTGGCCGAAAAGGTTTAACACACCTTACCTCACGATTCTACCACCCTGGGTTACCACCCTGCTTAAAACTTGCCAGCCCCTTTTTCCGGGTCTCATTCTAAGGCCTGAAGAGGGGGGTCAGGCGAGACGGGCATCCTATGAATTTTGAGACCTGCTTCTCAGGCAGACACGTCGATAGACTAGGTTTGCCATGACAACAGGCGCAGCACCCACACCCACACCCGCATGCACGCACGCACAGACTTACGCTTGCACACACTCATTGCACGCAAGCAAGCCTGCCCACGCACAAGCACACGCACGCGCAGCCGCAGCCGCACGCGCACGCGTGCGCGTGCGCACACACACACACACACACACACACACACACACACACACACACACACACACACACACACACACACACACACACACACACACACACACACACACACACACACACACACACACACACACAACACGCACCCACACGCACACGCACACGCACACACACACCTGCCTGTTGCTCAGGGCGTCGCTGACTACCTCAGCAAGAGTGCCCGCATTTGCCTGCATCAGCAGCGCGCCAGCCGTCTTCTCAGCTTACAATGTTGCAAGCCAGGACTGGCACGAAGGGTCTTGATTCAAGAGTCTTGATTGTTCCCTCGTTGAGGGTGGTTGAAATATAATTATGTTCAAACCACCTCCAAGCCCAAGTCAACTGGTTCAACTTTGGATTTTGGGGTGGCAAAACATAGCACCTTTGGGGTGGTTGAAAGTCACCCAAACTATGAGTCCGGAAGTCTTGTTTTGCTTGTTTGGGGGGTTAAACACGTTTTGGTCATTGTCCTTTCGGTGATGTCCAAGAACACGGAACTTCATTGTCGGCTCACGGCTGCTCAGTTTGGTTCCATTTGCGGTGGTTGTCCATATCCAAAGTGTCCGTGTTTTCCGGAAGACCACTCGGCAAAGCTGTCCCTTTGGGGCCAGAAACACATGTTGCCATTTCAGGCCAACTTGGATATTCAAGCAGCCATGGATAAGTTGTTTGTAGAGTTAACCGCCAGAGTTGTTTAAGAGAAGAGTCTTCTTCAAATGTGGACAAGTAGAAACCACCGGGGTGCCAGCATGTCTCGTGTCCGATGTGCGCAACAGCTTTGCTTACAGCCGGCGTTAGCTGTGGCTCGAAAGCTCCAAGGAGATTTGTGAGAATGTTTGACCAGAGCATGAACTCTACTAGTCAGAGGAACCCCAAGAGTAGATCAGTTCCTTGCTGAAAGGGAAACCATCCTGATTAGGATGGTATTCCGGATGAATCTGAATGAACATTAACGATGGCTCAAAATGGGAGATCAACCTTGGGTCCATGTCCTCATGCCATTGGCAGCAGATATACAGCGATGCGTAAGCACATGGGGGTTGATCAATATTCCTGGCCCCAAATGACTATGGATAATTGTGTCGTGAAAGTCATCTTTTTTTGGTGGTTTCCCCAAGGGTCAACCCCATGTAAAGCACCTTTTGATCAACCCCGCATGTTACCCGCCTGCCGTGGTTTGACTGGCCGAGCGCAGCAGCAAGCGTGTGCGCGGCGTGCGCGAAGGGAAGCCTTGAAGTTAGGGAACCTGGAGCGGCGCTTGAAGTCTAAGAGCGCGACAGAGAAGCTGGTGCCAGATACAGCAAAGGGCGCAGAGAAAAGAGAAAAGGGCGAAGGAGATGAAAGGAAATAAGACGATCTTGCTAGTTGTGCAGTGCGGTCTAAACAACCTGACTATGACTCCCTTCTTGTCAAAGGGGACCTGTAAAATGTGATGAAGACAAGGACTGGGCCCAACCTGGTATCTCCAGGTTCGACTAAATGTGGACCAGAATCAATCATGTTTAGTTGAAAGCCCCAGCAAGTGCTGCGCAGTGGCTTCAGGGCATGTTATTTTTCTCATTCATCATGTATAGTGCAGCGTTTGGCAGGGACGAATACGATAACATATGATGACCTCTGAAGAAAACAGGTGTTATCTTGTAAAACGCCCACACTCTCCAAATGCTTAGAAGCCGCCCCGAAAGCAAGAGTGGAATTGCTTGTTTCAACTCAACAGCCAGACTGAGGCATGTTGGAGGAGAACCTGAGTTCTATGGCCTATCTCAAGACCTTCAGCGCCTGGACCAAGGAGCGCATGAGGAAGGCCTGCTGTGAAGTGGCCAGGCTTCCCGCCAGGGTTGGTTGCAAAAATGTAGGTTTGTCGCAGAACAGGGCCCCCGCTTAAAAACAAGGTGTTTTTGCTTTTATTGCCTTGAACACCAGAAAACACACGCACACACCCATGTGACCAAACAATCAGCAACTCCGCTGGGATTTCATCCAAGCCAAAGCAGGGTCCCGGTTGCTTGCGAACTTGTGTAAACACGCTGTCAATGTCCCCTTTCAAGGGAAACCAAAACGAACGTGTTTAGACAGTTTGATGGTTCAATCTCGCTGATTCAAAACGTAGTCCCCAATGAATATCGGGTTGCGGATCGCGCGGTTTACGGCTTGGATTGTGCAGATTATGGGGTGCACGGATTTTCAATGATCCAACCTACGGTTTTGAACCTAAAAAATGCAAATTTCCTCTCCAGCCTCAAAACAATGAGCAATCCAAAGCGGCCACTGGACTCCCCTTTGGACAAGAGCTGGACCTGGCTCGCTGATATTCAGGGTTCGCACTGTTTACACTTGGGATCTGTGGCTTGAGGATTAAGGGTTCGCTATGCATCTAAATATGGAGCATCAAGAACAAACATGTTTGGTTGGGGGGAAAGCTGAGGTAGTTATAAGGAGGGTTCCGCTTTTGCAAGAATACCATTGGACCCCCAAAAGATGCAGGGACTGTCCCTGTACAAAGGAATGACCACCATGAAACATGTCCCCTCTTAGATATGAGACAAGCATTTCTCAGGCAACAACAAGAGGGTTTCTTCACATTTTAGGGGGGTTCCTTTTGGCTTCCTATCCCGCAGGTGAGCATCACGGTGGACCGGTGCTGCCCGGTGTGCAACAAGCGCTTTGTGGACAAGGACCGCCAGGATATGTTTGTTGCAGGGGTCTTGGTGCAGTTTGTGTTTGTGCATACATATGCATGTGTGTACATATACATATAGAGAGAGAGAGAGAGCAGAGCCAGATGTTGGGATAGAGCCAGGTATGAGTTTACATATATATATATATATGTATATATATATATACATATATGGGTTTGCTTGGTTAAGTTAAGGGGACCTTGTTGAGGTTGTAAAGGAAAACACGGAAGCTTGATACATGACCCTCATGTTTTGAGGGCCCAAAGTTTTTTTAAACACGTTTTGCCTTTGGCCCCGATGAACAGAATCGGGTTCCGTGGCCTTGGATTAGGGGCTCAGCCCCAGCTGATATAGGGTGCCTGTCTCAGGCTACCCTGAAAAAGGTTGCAGAATGAAACCCAAAGGACAGATACCATTTTTTGGAAAATCACCTATTTTGGCACACGCCCTGTATTGATATGACGGCTTTATGTAGAACCAGACGTCAGGTATGCTTGTCATCGATAGTGGTTTGCTTTCGGCTGTTTGTGTTGGTATTAGATTCACAAAATTTGGTTGCCAGAATCTAAGAATATTGTTAGTTGGGCCAGCATGGCTTCAAGTTTCTGTCCAAGGGTTGAACCAATCAAACCGCAACCGTAGGTAGATGAAGGTTAGTGATTAGTTGGGAAGAATCCTCGCTTAGATAGGTTCGGCAGCCCTGTGATTGTTTACATGGTCTTGGGTAGACCATTTTATTACCAGGTTTTGAAGCAACCACAGACCAGGGCCATTTGCAAGGGAAGCTGTGGGACAAGAGCGCAGTGATACCACCTGACCCTTAGGGTCGCAATGACGACCTGATGTTTGTCCTCCATTCCCAGTGTAAACTTGATGTGTGTGTGTGTGTGTGTCATATTTAATCCCAGGGGTATCCTAAAACACACACATTTGGATTGCGTGCGTCCATTTTGACATTTTTTTAGTGATGTGGCCAGGAAGTTTGCCACGAGGTTCCTCGATGTTCGAATGAAGGGGAACATCTCGGATGAAGCGGGAATGAACTATATGGTTCCTCCGTTCCTCCATGTAACCTTGAACCCAAAGAGGAAAGACCAAATCTTCTTCCTCCTTGAACCCAAAGCGGGAGTCGTCCCCCGAACGGATAAACTTCTCTGAGGCTCTAGGGCTTGCAGTGCTGAGACCTCTAGCACGCTTTTTTCCCTCAAGTACCTGGACAAAGCCGGATCTCAAGTCACTATCAGGGCTAAAATGAGCTCACTGAGGCGGGTTCCTCGCTACACAATATCATTTGACAAGATTAATGGTCGGAATGTAGAGGTTGACTTGGCCATGGCCCAAACCACCTGAGATGTCCCTTGTGCTTAGCATCTTCCAACAGATCGCAATCAACCTATAGAACACTTAGAAACGACACCCTAGTGATACTGCTTGCTCCTGACATGACTTGTGCACCACACTTAACAGCATTTCTAGGTATGGGTTTTGGAGATATGGAGACTGACACACCATGGATACAAGCTTGTAAGGCATACATATGTACACTTGTAAGTATAATCTCCATACATGCCCGGGGAGAAAGTAACCCTACAATGATTCTCTCAATTCCCAGACTTTCGTGGTTTACCCAACTTGCCCCGCAGGTTTCGGATTCAATCTTTCCGCGCAAAGTTGCGCTTATATATCCTCTCGTTGTTCCCTGCCTAGCAACATACAACAGCTTCTACGACTCCCCTAAAAACACACCAACGAACACAAACACAGACACAGACACAGACACAGCCACAGACACAGACACAGACACACACACACAGACACACACACACACACACACACACAAACACCCAAACACACAAACCCACATCCAGTTTGCTGTAGTTGAGTCTTCCCGTAACACAGCTGCAACATGTCTTCCTGAAGGTATCCTGTGAGTCCCAAGGGGCGTGACATGTCTCAGGACTCGGTGGGCAAGGCCTTTGTGGCGTATCCCAACGAGACCTGCGTCCACTTCACCTGCAAGGCGTCCCTGACCCGTTTGGTGTAAAAACCAAACCCTCCCGAAGCTAACATGGAAGTGCACAGACCCCTGTAGAAAGACTACGTTCCTCTTGGAAAGAGCCTTTTTGCACTTCCATGTTAGTTGGTGGGAGGGAACCTGGTGTTTTTTTCTTAAGCATGTTATATGTTACTTTCGATGATCTCTATTGTTTGCCATGTGTTTTAGGGTTCTGCTGGACTTGACGCACAGTTTGCACATGATGTTCGGTGCACATGTGAGCCAAGAGAGGGGCGACTCCAACGCTATTAAGAGGGTTGCGCAATAGTTACCCAGTTGCCTTTGTCCAATCCCGCACAAGGATGATGTTTGGTTGAACAAGGCACCCGAACAGCACCCTTCTGTTCACTTGGCCGTGGAACTTTCTCATAAGTTCAGTGCAACCATTGGAATGGTTTTTGCAAGCTGGACTACTGGCCCTATAAGATCTTGGGGTGTTCAAAGGCAGTTTCGGCCACTTCTTTCTGGCACCAGATTGCTTTCATGACTCGAGAGTGTATTGTGTACACCTTTCGGATGCCCAGCTCCTTTTGCCGCAAGGGAACACAGATCACACTTTCGTCCGTCCTGCGACAGTCTTTCCAAAAATGAAACTCAGGGGTCCAAAATTGCATTGCAAATCATGGCAGAATCCATTTATGCAAATGTCGAAAGCCTTGCAAACATCTGACGAAGCCTTCATGGCCTTGGGGTCTGACACATTTCTCCAGGGGTGATCTCCGGGAAAAAGGGATGCCGCCTTTCGGTGGATTTTGAAGAACTGTTCGTACCACTCGTTTAGCAGCCCCCAGTTCACGCCAAGGAAGCCTTTGCAACTCGGGGTACGGCCCATTTAGTGATCAACGGTAGACCATCTGGGCATTTCTCAAAACTGGGGACCCCTCCGCAAGTAGTTGGTCTCCTTTTGGTGTACCTTTACACCCACACCAAAAGGAGATCCCCAATTTCCAGACCTCCAGTGGTGCGTTCTGTCCTTTCTTTGTGGAAGGTTTTGTTTTACTTCAACATCCACTACCAAACAAAGGGTGCCTTGTTCCCAGATCGCCAGGAGCACCCCTCCATTTGCCCCAAGACTGGCAAGAACTTTGCCGACAACCTGTCGGTCTACTGCGCGTGCCTGAGTTCTGCTTTTAGGGAACTTAGGAGGGGCAACTTCCAACCATTCAGCATCCCAAAATCCTTTTTTCCAGAAAGCCCACGGTTTGTGTTGGAAAGGAACCGTGGTTGAAAAGAATGGGGACTCAACCCCTAGATGTGCTGCGTAAAGGCCCCATAAGGCGGCCCTTCCCCATGTTCTTCTTGTGGCTACAAGGGCAGTATTGTATGGAAGGGTGGCCCCAGGTTTTCCCAACAGGGTAAGGCACCTGGTCCAAACTCCACGAGAGTGGCTTGGGGTAGATGGTAGGTGTTGGCTTTAAGGACCCAAGGATGATTCTGCCCGTGGTGTGTCTCAAAATAGGGACCCCCCCCAAAGTTGGGGTGGTTTCCCCGAAAAGGATGCCCTCAGCAAAAAGACAAGCCGGCGTTTGGTGAACATCCACAGTTGCAAGTGCTAGCCTCACGAGAAGTGATTGCCGTGGTTGCCTTGCACCCTTCTGGCATGATGTTCCACTACCCAGAAACCACACCACATCGGGGGTGCATAGGCTATATATATATATACATATGCATATATATATATAGAGAGAGAGACAGAGAGAGACAGAGAGTCCGTATATATATATATACACATGTACATAGCTATATACATCAATAGAGCTGAGAGTCTTGAATTGCATGGCTATGTCCATCATTATTCGGGTAGTAGTTTGGGAGAGGACGAAACCATTCGAGTACAGGGTTTCCATTGTTCCCTGCTTGCGTAACCCTTCAGGGAATCAGCTGTGCGAAGTTCGATTTGCAGTCATAGGTGGTTTTCGGCCAGTTTGGTAGTAAATAGAAAACCAGGTATTGTTGCCTCTAGGTGTTACATGATGGGGAAACCCCTGGTTACCTACTACATTGGCTTGCCTGGAAGCACTGGCTTTGTTGGGTTTTTGGATACTGTAGCTTCCTGTCTAATTTCTGAGGCTGGTCTCTTGAAGCAATTTTCCCAGCCCCAACCTGAAGTCTGAGGCCATGCGTTGGGAGCCAGAGACGAGCGGTGAAAACAAAGCCGCTGACAGTTTTTTTTCCAAGGAATACGGGGGAAGACATCCCTATTTATCCACGGGATTCAGACCAATCTGTGGTCGACATGATTCTTCTTGCTGGTTGAAAGGGAAGTCATAGCGGGAACTGCAAACCACACAATCTGTGGTCGACTTTCTTCTTGGTCAGTTGAAAGGGAAGTCAGAATGAGAACCACTCGTCCATTCAGTGGGATCGTGAATTGGTGCGGTCGAGTTCATTTTGTGAGTAATCCCCAATGCGGGCTTAAACTGAACCAAGGAATTAGTCCCCATTTGGGAACGAATCGCTCCTGAATATGAGCCTATGGGCAAATTGGATCCCTGGGGGTGACGTTCTTTGTATTGGGATAGTTGAAGCAATTTACAGGTGGCGAGACGATACATATAACTTACACTCGATCAGTGCCACCTGTTTGCACAGTTGCCATCCCATCTCTATGGACCGCCACGAAGGCTTGTGCTTGCTTCCCGCCCGAAGCGCCTACGCCGCCTGCGGCATTTGGCTGCAGGTAGGAACCGACATGGGCCCCAGACTTCTCAGATGTGCGTAACTTTTCATAGGCAAGTGGTGACACATTCCTCAAGCAAAATGTACAAGCACACCTTCTGCCAAGAAAACAAATATACTTGGTCTGCGGCTGGCGATTGTGTTGAAGTGTATTTCGGCAAGTTGCACCAACCGTACATATATTTTTTGTTTGCAGCCATAAAGGTTCCTTTCCCTATTCATTCGGGGTCCATAGTCTCTCTTTTTGCAGGCTGGTGAACTGGCATCCATGTCCAAAGTTGGGGGTGAGTCGAGGTGCTTTTTGAGGGCGCCGGTCTTTACACGAGGAGAACTTGACACATGTGCGCCTCGATAGCGGCCTCCATGATCTCAGATCCTCCAAGCTCTTGGAAGGCCGAGACCGAAATCGCGGCTCGAGTTAGAAGTTGGCGTTTCCTATTGTTCCAGTTGGTGTGGTGGGTGTCTCGTTCAAATCAACCGAATGGCTGTCCTTTTCTGACTGCCCCAGTTAGTGGAGGATCATTTGGGTGGTAAGTAAGAAGTCTAGACTTGTCCCTTCCAATCCACCCAGGAAGCGATTTGCGTCCTGTTCAAAATCAACCAACCAGAAGGGGCGTCCTTTTTTCTTGCTTTAAATCCCTTGAAAGTGTGGGGAAGGATGAGCAACAGCTAGCCCAAGGTCCAACCAAACCCTCCCTTGGCAAGTGTTGAGGGCAACAGCCCCTTGCCATCGCAGGAATAAGCCTTCCAAATGGGTGTGTCTTTGTTTAGGGACCTCAAAAATGCTGGTGTTGCTTTGGGTTTCCCTTTAAACCACCCCCCAAAAACGGACCATCAAAGCAGCACAAGAACTGATACAGGTTGACAGTGCTGCAGTCAGGCGTTGGCATTGACTTCGCAAGCATTTTGCCCTTGTGGTGTTCCTTGTATTGCTCGTTTGTTCACTTTTGCATGTGTGGAGCCGTTTGCTTTTAGTCAATACCCCTTTTAGGATTGCTTGAAGGTGAGACCAAAGCAAACCACGTGTTTGCGGGGAGCCAAATCCAGATGTTTTTGTTGAAACCGGTGTTGCCTGCAAATTCGGCGGGGAGTGGCTCGCCAGGGGAGTGATGAGATGCCCAAGTCCCAGGATCTTTGAAGGCGACGCCGTGAGCCTGGGCACCGTTTTAGGGCGATGGGTGGATGTGTGTGTGTGTGTGTTTATAGAGGTGGAATACCGGGTGTTGAGTTTGCTTTCGGGGTTGAAGCCGAAAGGAAAGCCGCCATGTGAGGATTGCTTCCTCGTTTCGAAACATACCCATGTTAGGACCCCTCCAAGTCGAAGGAAGGCTGTAAAACCTCTAAGAGGGCCTGGATAGGAAGGTTCTTGGCTCTGGGTGTGAAGGCGACCAGGCCTTTAGAGACAAACATTACCAGGGACTAAATTTATTTATGCGCTGCCGGGGTTTTATTGATTCGCAGGAGTTGTTTGCTGGTTCACAACGCAGACTAGAAATTCCCACTGTTCAACTGTGTTAGTTTGATTTCCTCAACAAACAAAAGCAACAAGCAAAACAGTGTCCTTTTCTCCCATGAAAGTCCGCTCGAGGTTTGGGACAGCAGTCTGGCGAAGAGATGCGTACATGCTTTTGCAGAAGTCTCAACTCGATTGTTTTTTTGTGTTTTTTTGTGTGTGTGTGTGTGTGGCCAAACCAACCTTCACCACCTTTTGGAACATCATGATTCATGATGGTTTGCCTACTTTTTGCTGGAGATCAGTTCAACCAATCCAACGTGTCTTTACCTGTTCAGTTGGCAAACGTTGGCATGTTTGTGCATGTTTGTTGATTGGTGCTTTCACGATTGTCGCAAAAAGGGCCAAAGCGTTGAAGCTTTTTCTGGCCAGTCAACTGGCGGGTCAGTTTTGCCTCAGGTCAGTTAGGTCCGACCTGGCAAAGACAAATATCTTTCTTGACGCCCTGCGCTTCATGGCAGTTCGACAGTTGCAAGAAGTGGAGTAGGGCGGTGTCTTTTGTTGATGCTTGTTTAGAGTGAAGCCACATGGAAAGCCAGCTTTTTTTTTTCTGGGGGGGGACAACATAAAGACACACCCATGCTCCGAGGTTAGCCTGAAGGAAATCCCCAGACTGCACAAGCGTAATGGGAAAGTCATGTGATGGGGCGCGGGGGGAGCTCCTTGCCAGCCCAAGCTGTTGTTTGCCAGTATTGCTTTTATTCGAGGGCTGACATAGAGAGAAAGAGAGCGAGACCGAGAACGAGAGCCTGGTTACATGGGTGCCAAGAAGGGACCTACCGTGACCATTTCTAGTTCAAAGGAAACTACCAAAGCGAGACCTTAGGCAATTTTCCCCTCCTTGTCCTTGACCACACGTGAGGAGTCGTCAAAAGTATGGCCCCATGTTGGACCCTGGTGCCGCCTTGTGCCTTTAGAAGGGGATACCAAAAAGGGCCCCGAACTTTGACAACCACCGACATGTGCCACTCGCAGGAGGGTGGCTGTTTCACTGGTCGCGCCGCCAGGTTCAAGCCGATCGAAGGTGGAAATGCCTCAGGCGCCAGCCATGATGGCCACAGCGTTCCTAGCCACAGCGTGTTTTGTTTAGCCTGTGTGACAGTGTGAGTTGTTTTGCGATTCAAACTGCTGCGGGTCACTCTGTGTTTTTTTGGGCAGGGGAAACCATTCTTGTTTTCTTTCCTGAAAGCGTCGGAATCACCGGAGGGCTTTCCCTTTGGTCCTAACCTAAAAGCCACCGAACCCTGCGATTGACGAAAGTTGTGTCCGCACGCATGCTCCATGAGCTCGGTGAGATATGCCGGACGGAGGTCATTTGGTTTGATTGGATGTTGAGGCTGAGCATTGACTTGGTCCGATTTGTTTTTCCCTTGAGCACTGGTTAGCTTTTTGCAGGGGTCTGAGACTGGCCCAGATTCCGAAATAAAAGCTTGCATGTGCTCCAACGCGGCCGAATGAGCAAACCTTCAGCGTTTGTCAAGAGCTTTGGCCTACTTGTGCCTTGGAACTCCTGAAAGTGACACAGTCACAGTTGGGATGGGGAATCCCACTTTATCACGGCAAGGCTCATGTTACTTGTTGTTTACTAGGGGTTGGCTTCCGGACGGCACCTTGTTCGGAAAAAGGCAGCTGGAGGGCGCCGGCTGCGGCAATGGACCAATGTGCGAGTTGCCCGGGTGTGTAACAGAGAAATAGGACGTGGCCTTGGGGCGAAAGACAACAAGCAATATCAAACATAAAAAGCAAGAGCAACTACACGACACTATTTTCCGGAAACAGCTGCCCGCACCGCTGGTTCTGCGTGTGGCTTCAGCTGGTTGGCTCGCCTCGGAGTCGGACTCGAATCGAATTGCCATGGCGCCGAAAAGGGGCAGCATCATGGCAGCCTTCAAGAAGGAGACGAAAGCGCATCCGGGTCCAGACCCACTCTAAAAGGTGGCATCTGGGGGAGGTGGGTGACTGCCCTTGCATGGGTTAAGCGGTTAGGCTGGGATGGAATTGGGGACCCCCCCTCCCCCCGCCCTTGCGGCCCTCCCTCTTGAGGTTGGGGCGATGAAGGCGCGTTTTGTTCGGAACCCAGACCTCCGGAGGTGCCCTTTTTGCCCCTGTTTTGTTGTTGGTTTTTTTGGGGGGAGGGTGTCCCTTGAAACTTAAGCACCAAAGAAGTTTTTGCATAAATGGGACATATGAGGATGCATGCATGGACATTGAGCAAATCCGGCCCTTGGGTGTCTCTTGGCACTTTGTTTCTATTGGGGGCAGGGAAGCTCAAAGGAAGCATGGCCTGGTAGAGCAGCTATTTGATGCTGCATCTCTGGGTTGTGGGAACCAGCCCATGCAGAAGTCAACTTCCACATCTTGTTCATGTTTTTACGAGCACAGAATGGACCTAAGAGTTTCATGGGGGAAGCCGAGCACGAAACCGGCGCCAGAGGCTCTGCTCAAAGTGATGGTTACCAGCACCCCCCCCAACCTCTGCTTTTGGACAGTACTTCAGATTTTGGACATGGGAAGAAGCGGTTGTTGGGGGGTGCTGGTTCTTGGCTTAAGTTGGCGCTTGATCTGGCCTGATTTGGACAAGCGTACTTTCTGATCGAATATCGGCTGTTGAAGCACACCGCGCGAAACCTTCACGCAAGCACCTAGCTTGCGACAAATCAGCTATACAGGAATTTCAGCGGGAAGCAAGCCAACCCCCTGTTGTTTGATCGCCGCTTGGCAAGCTTCCTCTATAGAGTTTCCTGCATGTTTCTGAAAAATGGACACAGCCACGTGTCAGGAGCAAGCGACTCCAGAGAGGCTGGGTTCAGTTGACTGGAGCTGATTTTGAGAGCCTTGCCTGACCCTTGGTCCGACATCAGTGAGTCCAAAAGGGTGTGTGTGTGTGTGTGTGTGTGTGTGTGTGTGTGTGTGTGTGTGTGTGTGTGTGTGTGTATTTTTCTGAGGGTACCCAGTGAGTTTTGAGGAGGCCCAAACAGATGCAAACCGTATCATTATGGGAGGGAACACAAAACGAGACATTTGAGGGACTTGCCGGAGTGGAATCATTGGGACAGAGACGGAGGGTCGACATTTGCGGTCCGAGCCCAATCGCTTGCTTTTGGCTTCACTTCCAAAGCAAGCAGCACCTAATTCCCTGATTTGGGGGCACACATGCATGGAAGTCACCCAAATCTTCAGAAGGCTTATACAGGCAATGAACTCAAAGGATCTTGAAATGGCCATTTATGGCATGGTCAAATAAGCCTTTCAATTGAGGTTGCTAGGATGGTCATGAAGCCTCTTTTGGGATTTCCGGCAACCATTATAAAGGTTCCCTTTAGAGTCATGGCCATGACACAAAGGAGTCGGTCCGCACTCGGCCAGTAAGCAAGCAGCAGCAGGGGAGCCTGGAAGAGCGGCATGCGCCAGGGGGCCCAGCTTAAGTGAGCAAGAGGGAGCAAGAGAGCAACTGGCACGTGATCCCTATGCAGCTGCACTAACAAATGGGGGCCGTACATGTATTTAGCATGTTGTTTTCTTTGTATATTTTCGCATGGCACCAATATTCAAGGGAATTACGTTGGGTATACCTACCAATTGCCGCTAGGACATGGATATTGACCGTGGGTGTCAGAAATGCTCATTGGTCCCAATGGCAGACATAGTGCAAATTCATTGAGACTAGGGAAACAACAAGGAGCACAACAATTTGCAGATCCGCGAATGGGACCTGTCATTCAGTGTTCATAGTTTGCCTTGAGTGTAAGGTTTGCATGTGTGCCCAGCATGCGGCTGGTTGTTTTTCGTTGCAAGAAAGACATGCATCCGGTGTGTGTGTTTTTTTCTCCTAGGGCTGTTGTTTTTTTACTTAAAAAAAGAACACCGTTACCGAAGTCAACACAAAGCGCACACTCAGGGGATATGTTGCCTTGGTTACCTAGCACAGTGGCAACTGGAAGCACCAGGACAGATCACACGATCCTTGATTCATGTGGAGCGATGAACTCGAATGTGGAAAAGGCTGCAGCTCCGAGTCGCCAGCGGGCGGTGCAAACAAGACTGCAAGCTGCAACTCTACTGCTTTGCGATGACTTGTCCCTTTTCATGTAATTTTTCTGCGAAGGACAGCCATTTGGTCGAGTGCACTGGCCCCCTTTGAATATCAACCTGCAGGTATCAGTGGCCAATTGAGTTCAACCACGTGGTGGGAATTTAGGTTGTGGTATTCCGAAGTTTCCCCTTTCAACATGGCACAAGGTAAGTCGCTTGGAATTGGCCCAAAAGGTGATGTTACTTCACCCAAAGCCGAATAATATGGAGATATAGGTGTGTCTTGATGTAGGGGACCCACAAAATGCTGGTCTCCCTTTGGTTTCCCTTTGAAACCAACCAAAACGGGTACCTGCAAAAGACACACTCATCGTGAGGAACCCTGCGTCCCGCTCAACTTGGTTGCTTGCCCGGCCTCTGAGGCAGATGCCACTCCAGAAGGCCCCGCTAAGAGCTGCGCTCAGAGTGAGCGTGAGACTACCTTACAGCAGGCTTAGCGTACCTGAGCTTTTTGCCTTATATAGGTTGCCATCATTTTTCTTACAAGCAAAACCATCCATTTTTGGCCGTCGCGTTGCACAGCTTCCACGTGCGCATTCCGTGTGAGTGACGCATTGGCATTGTGCTTCCTCATTTTCTCCGATTAGCTCGTTTTTGAACCGATATCTGTGCCATAGTGATGAGGTTAAGTCTGGCTGAGGTTAAGGGACAAGTATGGCTAGAATATGGTAAGGACTTCCTCTTGGAGGTATGCCAGACACCCAGTCTCATGTTATCAGGAGGAATTGTAGTTGGCTCAGCCAAGCACACACCTGCCATGGGCACCCAGTTCATGTGTGGTTCGACCATGGTGGAGAGTCATGTCCCTGGGCTGTCCTTACCCCAGATGGTGGTTTCCCTTTCTATACTGATTTCCTACTCGTACCAAGGATTACGGATTAGGATTGGGCATTCCTCCATTTTGAACAACCTGGTGCTATGAGCAAGGAGTCTAATCGAGACTTTTTGTCAACAAAGCAGCTCAGAGCGTTCTCTTTTTTAATGAGATCAAGGGAGACGGTGCTAAGCAACACCACTCAAGACGAGAATCGTTCAACTCCACCTCCAAGAAATTCCTCGTTGAATTGTGGCCTTCTTGGGCCTGAAAGGTCGTGAGCTGAGGCTCAGGCTCATGGCTCATTTTGCCTTGATGCCTTGGCAAGCTGGCGGGCGATGGAGCGGTCAGTGCTCGATGGAAAGCGGGAGCTGGCCTATGCTGGAAGATGCGCGGAGCCAGCTGTTCAGCGCTCGCAATTTTGCAGTTCTTGCAGGAAGGCTTTTGCCCCTCTTGGCCCCTTGAGCCACTGTGGCTCTACCTTCGGCAGCTGGACCTACACACTCGGCGGATCGAGTCCACATCGGGGAGGAAGGAGTGGAGACACTGCTACCCCCGCGGATGAGGCTTGTTGCTGTTGAGTTGTCACTTGTCAATGTTTTTGTTGAGTGTCAAAACTATAAAAGCGCATATCATCACATATTGCTTCGCCGTTTGGTCACCACATCTGAAATGCGTAAATTCCTGCATCAGTTGGCAAGGATTGGCACCCTACAAATACTGGCCTAAAGGACCTACAATTACCCACTTAGCCCAGACGACAAACCAAGAGTCCTCGCAAGGTGTCAATGCGCTGTAGTTGAAGCAGTGTGGAAGATTTATTTTGGTTTGGGCTCACCCAACATCCAAAGGCTCGGCCCACATGCGAACGACACACAAACTAAAGGCAAGCTCACGTTTCGTTTAGTGGCTGCACTGTGCTTGTTTCACCTTTCAAATTTGGCCTGCAACCTCCTACTTGTGAGGGTTTCCTGCTGAGAAGCAGAAAAAGGGCCTCTAACCTTCTGACCCAATGGCGCTTTCCCCAAGCAAAAAAGTGGTTGTGACTGTTCGCCCAAGGCTTGGTGCCAGAGTGAAGTGGTTGCGTGGTTTTTTTCAGGTACCACTTGTGGGGGTAAACACCCCCTATTTTGAACCACATACCCGTAGTGGGTGTGGACACTGACAAGTGTCGGGTTCCCTTTCCTAGACCTCAGGGCGCATCTGATGTTCCGACTCGATGGCCGCAGAATCTTTCGCGTCCGAACCCCACAACATCACCTGGAGGTTTGGGCCTTTTGGTTTTCATGGGAAGCCGGGGAACCTTATCTTGGGGTTTCCTCGATTTTGAGACAAACCCTAAATGGCAGCAGTGGAATCCAGGAGAAATGCACGCAGCAAATACGTAGACTCGTGGCATTGGTTGCCGTGCCCCTCGGCAACGGTTCAGAATTGTTCGAAGCACGCGCAAGGATCAGGGAAAAGCCTTGTCCGAGTGATTTGTCCAGTTCTGGTTTGGTTGCAAGCGAATTGTTCGGTCACTCCGCCTAGAGAAATGATGTTTTCGCAGCGCGGCTTACGGGGCAAGATGCCTCCATGCTTAGCAACCATTCTGTTCCGTTCTGTCCGGAACGTCCTGAGGCCGCAGTATGTGGGAATGAACTGTGATGAGTGAGCCCTTTGGTGCACATCACTTGCATGCGGATGTGGGTCTACCGACCATTTCCAGGCATGTTCCCCATTAAGATTCAATTCATACCAATGCCAATGCCTGTGTGTGTGTGTGACTACCTAAGTTTTGGCATGTAGCAGTTTTGGCCCCAGAACTCCTGGTGTGATGGCAGATTTATTGAGCTTGTTTCAACTGGGAAGGAAAGGACAAGCACCGATTTTGGGTTCCCCGGAATCGAACCCCTTCATCCATAAAAAGCTTCGTCGGTCACCCGAGGCGAAGACGAATGGACAAGAAGGGGCCAGAGGCGGCAAGGCCAATGCTGCATGGGTGTCCAATGCAGGTGTCTTTTTTTTGAGTGCCGTTTGTTTGGTGTTTTGCAACAGACACAGTACTCCCTACAAGTCCCTTTGCGGTCGTTGTAAGCATCACCTTGTTGGCGCATGGTAGAGGTGAACGTCCCTTGGTAGGGGTGATATGTTGGGAGGAATTATAGGGAAGCACATTTGATTCTAGATGCCCTTTTCATTTTTTAACCGTGTTCCCCGCAACAAAAACAACAACACAACAGGTTGCCAGTGTTGTCCAAAGATGATCACCCTCCTAGAAGTGAAACAAGGGAAACCATTTCTGTTTGGGTCAACATATATGTTCCCTTGAGATCTGGACGCCTTGCAAAGCTAATGGCCTTTGAGGTCTCCAGAGCCGGTATGAAGGGTTGGGCAGGGAATTTGTGTGAAACCAAACCAGCTAAGACCCTTGTGGGAAACCCACCCAAATGGTCGGGCAGCGGGAAGCCATGGTGGGAAAACGGGTTTCAGGTTGCCACGTCCAACATATTCCCTCAAGGAAACCAACAAGGGATGTGAACGTTTCATCATTTTTAAGGTTTTTTCCAGACCCCTTATTTAACGCGATCACAATCCTTGGTTTGCATTTCCGCACTGACACTGGGTTTCACTGTAATAGCCTCGCAATATTGCGTTTTATCCTGAGGGGCGCAGATCGAACAGATGTCATGAAACCAAACATCGCCATGCTTTTAACGTTGCAGCGTGTGTGTTTGTGAGATTTGAAAGGCTGTTGTCTTCGTGTGTGCCTGTGATCTTGATTCATTCTTTCTTGGGTCTCGCTCCTTGCTCTGGTTTCAGCGGCACTGTGCACAATTGATGCGTTGCTGTTGGCTACATTCCATTGGTTCCTGTTGTTCTTCTTTCCCGTGTTGTTCATGCCGGTTGGGTTGTTCGACTTATATTCTGCGGAAGTGGTTGGCTTCTCTTGTTGCGGGCTTCTTTCTCTCCCTTGCTCATTGATGCCTGACCCTGCCAGTCTCTGGTGTTTGTTGCTGTTGCTTTGTGTTTATTTTGTGTGTTCTTGGTTGTTCTGCAGGAAATTGTGCTATGTCATTGCGGCTGGGGCTGCTATTTGTGGCTGATCCAGTGTGTGCAGGTGTTGCTGCATTTGCTGCTGCTGCTGCTGCTGCTGCTGCTGCTGCTGCTGCTGCTGCTGCTGCTGTAAATACTTTGCTGTTGAAGCCGTGGTTGCAGATGCAGCTTCTGCAGTTTCTGCCGCCGCCGCCAAAGCGCTTGTGGCACCGGTGCTGTGCTGGTCCTTGGTCGCGATCCTTGGTGCGTCATGGCCGGGGTCGGCATGGTCGCTGTTGTTTGCTTCGTAGTTCCAGGCCCATTCCATTGCTGATGTCCCCTGCGTCGTTGCATTGAATAGTGACTACTGTCGAGGGTCCTTGGTACCCAAGGATGTACTCTGACCCATTTGGACACTATCAAAGGTTCCAGGGGACCCAGGTGCTACACGCCCGGAGTCGATTTGTTCCCTTCGCTCATCGTGCGAGGCCAGAGGAAAAGAGCGTAGCGCCGGTGACAGTGAGGCGCGGGAATTGACGCTATGCGGTTCGAGAGGATCCCTTGGTAGGGGTTCAAAAGGCTTGAACACCTTCTGAGAAGAAACTTGCACCCTTGGGGTACTGCCAGGTTTCCTTTTGGTTTATGATAGAGCTGACACAAACCTTTACACCCATCTTACTAGAAACAGAAGTCAATGGGTTTTGGGCGCTGGTCTAGTGGCGGGATGCACAGGAGCAAGGGTCATCTACGGTACAGCGGATGATATTGGTCTACGGTACAGCGGATGATATTGGCACATCATGAGCCAAGCCTTTAGATAATTGGGCTCACTTGGGGGCACAATGCATATTGACCTTGGCTTCCTGGTGTCATTTTATTCAAACATTAGATGGATTCCGCTGATGTCCGGTGAATTCTATTCATTTGCCAGTCGCAACCATCATGTATAGTTTGAAGATAAAATTACCGAGTTGACAAACACAGGCAAAAGGTTGTGCTTGTTTTTGTTTTTCCAAATACTAGTATTGGCTGCAACATAGTGCGTGAAATAGTTACCAAGCGAGTATCTGGAGGTTGTACGCCTCATAGTGAGACAGCATAGCCGAAAAAGCATGTTGCAACTGATTGAGGGCCATGTTTTCTGTTAGTGTTTTACCTTAGTCCCTTCACAGTTCCCACCTTCATCACTGACTCACTTGTGCAAGGATCAAGCTTGTCTTTCGAAACCACGCCTGGCGCAATTTCAGGTGTATTTTGTGACATGGCGACTTGGGAATTTACCTTGGTGCAATATGTCTATCCAGAAAGGACATTGCAATGTAGACGAAATCCACGGCAGCCCAGCAAAAAGCGAGGCAAGAGCCAGAGCCGCACGTGGCCGCGAACCACGTCCCCAGCGCGCACGGCTCAGCTTAGCGCGACCCGCTTGCGCTCCCCATTGGCCGTATTTCAGGATTGCAGCATTCTCGGGGTGACCCAAGATCACCCTCTAGAAAAGTGTTGAATGGATGTTATGATGTTATCAATGAGGAATCAGGAATGGCTCTCAATGGGAACCCATGGCGAGTTCAGTCGGCTTGATTTTAATTGGATAGAAGCTTCTGGATCTGGGGTCAGCGGTACCAGCGAGCCATGGCGCAGTGAGGGTAATTTTCTGGCTGACCCGAACAAAAGCACCTGACAACTTCGGAAGAAGCAAAAGGCTTACACAAAACCAGTCGAAGCTCCACTTTTCTGCAGGGGTTATGACTCAGCCACATGTCAATTTCCATCGACCGCCGGGTTTGGACCATTGGAGCGGCAGGACACGGGGCCCTGGTCGCTGTGGAGTGCAGCGGCTCCGAATTGTAAAGGTGCCCAGGCGGGGGCTTGAAGCTTGGAGCTGGCATGTGCCATGGAGCTAATGAAGAGGGGTCATCGATTTCGCGTCACCAGTGCTTCCAGTTTTGCCACTGTAGGTAACCAGCGGAAACCATCCATAGTAAATGCATGGTGGCTAAGACACCTGGTTGCCTGTAGCGGTAACCGGAAGCACTGGGCAAAGTAACGAGCAAACAGGCAGCCCTGCATTTTGCTGGCAGGACGGTGATTCGATTCCCATTGCCTTTCGGGTCAGAGGGCCTCCAAAAGAATGGTCTTCTGCAAGCAGGCTTGTTAACCTGAAAACGATGAAGCCAAACTAGAAAACTGGCTTGGGCCCGTTTGTCCTCCGAAACCCATACTACCCTGTCAAGATCGAATCGAAACACCTAGAGGCCCAGACCTCCGGTGGCGCCTTTGTTTGTTTTTGGATGGTTTTCCTTCAAGATGAATCCATTAAAACCGTGCGTCGTGTCGTGCCCGCCTCTATAGCCAATAAGCAGAACCAGAACTTAATGGTGTTTTGGCATACTTGTTGGACTGGAATTGGGCAGCACGTTTTTCACTGGGTCCTCTCCAAAGATGGTCAAGCCCCAAACCGGTTTCCTTCTTCTACCCAGGCCACTGGGTGTATAGCTTTAAATCGGAATGTTCCTTGCAACATTCGGATGGCTTGTATCATCTTGTGCCATTCCATTTGGGCACGATCACAAGCGCTACTGTATGAAGTTGGTCTATCTTCACCTTCATGTACTGCAGACTCTTGGTGACATTGAGCACACTCACCAAATGGCCATTTGGAAACTTTTGGCTTACTTGCCGAATTCCATCTTTCTTGGGAACCACCTGAACATTTGACCGCGAATCAAGGTGCTGATCCGCAAGGTTTTTGACGGTGCATCGGATCCGACCAGGCGCTCCTCTCCCCCGCTTTCGATCCAAAGCTCCGCGAGAAAGAGCCCGGAGACCGGGCGATCGCGGCCGGCGACAAAGTTTATGTGTCCTCCAAACTGATTTGGTTTTGTTTATGGTGTAGACATGTTATAGACCAATACGAAACAGAATCAACAAATATAATTTTCGGTGTACCCAGATGGGCAAGATTTGGAGCATCAGAAAAGTTGTCAAAAATGTGGCCGGCTCCTTTTTGCGATCCTGGTGCCGCCGGTCAAAAGACCTGCATTGGGATTGCTTGGGAAGGTAGTCCACCCTTTAAGAGTTGATGTAGAGAACCATTGCAAGGATCCTTGTCAGGCAACGACGGCCAAGACCAACAGAGAGGAGTTTGGTACTTTGTCATGTGAACATTGAAGCGGGCAAACTTTCCGATTTTCTTTTTCCCCCAACAGCTGAAAGCTTTGGGGTCTCACCCAGATAGGCTCCGGGGTGGTCAGGGGCGGCCCTGAGGTAAGGTTCCACGAGGGTTCCACCAGCGAGGTTCTGCAAGGGCTGCGAGATGGTACGAACCGCTGTTGGGGATATCACCTGAGCTTTTGTTGTTAAGCCTGGATATTGGTTTGTTCTTCCCCTTGTTCGGCCTCCCAACTCAAGCATGATGAGGACACCGTCAGTTTCTCATGTGTCAAAACTAGGGCTCCTCATGGTAGGGCTTCTTTTAACAGGCTGTTCACCCACACTTATGGAGCATGTTTGTGTTTTCTTCCTAATTTGTGGGTGGCTGCCCCCAACTCGAGCAACACAAAAGGGTGTTCTTTCCTTTCCCCGGGCCACTTCGGGTTGATCCCCAAATGGGCTGGGGCTAGCGCCTAGAAGGGGCCTGCCTTTATCTAGCCCCGTTGCTTCCACCATGGTTTTTGGGGAGGATGGGTGACCCAAACTTCCAGACCTGATTTAGTTCGGAAACGAGTTTCTTCTTTTTTCCGGTCGGTTGCACGGAATGGATTCCGCATGGTTGGATGATTGCTGGGACCGCTTGCTTTTAGGTTTCCTGTGGGTAAGCCGGTGGGCTTCTCCCTGCTCTCATCCGCGCTGCTAGAGATCGAGGAGCCGGCTTTGCCGGGGGGAGGGGGGAGGGGAGGCATTTGAGTTCCGAAAGGTGAGCACAGGACACCGAAAAGGCCGACAGAATCAAATTGCATCCATGTTTCGGGTGTTTTTGTTGGTGCGATCTTTAGCCTCCTCAACGTTTCAGTCGTGGTTGTCAGGCCTTATTGGTGCGCACGGGACGTAATGTGGGCTTTGAATGTTTGGACAATATCCGTGCTCCCACTAAGTCGCGTACAGCTGGTAGAGGTCAATCCATTCTGGGTTCTTCTGTGTCGGGCTTCCTTTTTTGAAATTGAGCCATCGAAAGATGTTATTTCTTTCTGTGGGACACCGTGACACTCTCCATGGTTGTACGCAGTAGTTAGACAAGGTTGTTGTGAATTCTCCCTGTAAATTGTATAGTTTGAAGCCAGGGTGTTGAACATGTTGTGCATGACCGGGCCATTCTGGTACGAGGGCCCTTGAGTCATAGCGCTCGAAGCGAAAAGTGAGAGCCCGATTTGCTTGCTACATTCACATTGGTAGCGGAGCGTTGGTTGAACGACTCCGGGCAAGTCAGGGCGGTAGGTCATGTCAGTGGCCGGGCTTCGTTTCAGCCCGGACCATGGCGCTCGTGCAACAGACCCTGCTGAAACTCGGAGTGGTTCATACATCTATGGTGGAGACCCCGCTGGTTTCCATGATTGGGAATTCCGCACCAAGCTTCGCCTGAGGATGTATGAGGAGTTTCTGAGAACCAAGAAAACAGCCAAGCGGACTGTGAAAGAAGAAGGAGAAGAAGAAGAAGGTGGTTCTGCAGAAGCTGAGGAGGCCAAGGAGGCTTTTAGGGACACGAGGTCGGAGCTCACGCACCGGATTGTAGAAGGACTTCGGGGCGATGCGTTCTTGGTGGCCCGTGATCTCGGACTTGACGCCTTGAGTGAGCCGCAAGGTATTGAGAATTTGATCAAGCAAATGAGAGACATGGTTTTCCCAAGAGCCACTGAGGAAGCTCGTGAGCTGTTTCGTGTTGGTCAGAAACCTCAAGGAGCACTTTCCCGGCAGAGAGGGGAGAGTATGATCTCGTACATTTCTCGAAGGCGCAGATGGTGGAGGACCCTTGTGGAGATGGATCCAACGCTGTCGTTGTCTGAGCAGATGCGCTCAGAGTTGATGCTCGAGTTGGCGAACATCTCACACCAAGAGATCCTTGTGATCAGAGCCTGTTCGGAGGGCGGAAGAGAGCTAAGCAAGGTTGAAGAGGCCCTGATCAGGAATTACGGTGGGGTACATCTTCGAGAAGGAAGAGTGCTGGGCCCGTCTTCGACTGGGAAAGGAGGCTATCAGACAAAAGGAAAGGGGAAGTCTTCTTTTCACAGCTCTTCATCTTCGTCTGGCAGTGGATACTGGCGAAGGTCCGCGCTTCCAGCTTGGTCAGGGTATCCTGAATGGGAAGAAGGGGAGCCCATGAATCCGCATGAAGAAGCTGAAGATGAAGGTTTCGGGTACACAGTGGACGGTGGTGTTGACAAAACACCGATGACCGATCCTGAAGAGGTGCTCGATTATGGCGAGTTTGAAGAGATAGGTGATGAAGGCGAGGCCACTGCTCTCAACGCCATGGAAGAGTTGGATGCGGAGAGCAGTGATCCGCTCAGTGTCGGAGAAGCCATTCAGCTGCAGCTGGCAGCGAATGCCGCCTTTGGTAAGGCCAAAGGAAAAGGGGGAAAAGGACCGAAAGGAAAAGGGAAAGGAAAGTTGGTTCGGTCACATCTGACACTGGAACAGCGCCGATCAAAGTTGCAAGAGTTGAAGAAGAGAAGCAAATGCCTCAGGTGTGGAGGGCACGGCCACTGGGCCGGTGACCCTGATTGCAAATTTCCGGGCCCAAAAGGGAAAGGTGACAAGCCTGCTGGATCAGCATTTGTGGTTTATGACAGTGACACTTCAAGTGATCACGAGATTTGCTTGCAGGCAGGTCAGGCACCTGAAGGCGTGGCTTTGGTAGTGTCCAATTCCAGGTCGTCTAGATCAGGCAAGGGTTACACAAAGGCGAATGCGTCGGATTCTGTGCCTGTTCCACGGAGCCCACCTAGATCGTCTGACCCTGTGCCCATTCCCATGAATACCCCTTCCGAGGATCAAGATGCAGTCACGAGAAACAACAGAGCTCGAATCGTGGTTCGTGAGGGGGAGATGGATGAGGACCTGGAAGGCGGTGAGCAGAGGATGCTTCTCGGGAAGTACAAGGGAATGACATATCGGCAAATTGTCATTCAAAACCCTCAGTATGTAGCATGGGGATTGTCACAGAAGAAGCCATCGCAGGTTTTGCAATCTTTCCTCAGCTGGGTCATGAAGCATTACGTTGTTGAGGGAAGCACACTGACGAAGAGATCGCTTTTAGCTGTTCCCCCGGGTACGTACAACCCCATGGAAAAGCCATCTTCGTCGAGGAAGCCACCGAACCCACCCCTTGAGAAGTGTGTGGAATGCAAGTATTTCTCGTATCAAGGATCAACAGGATACACGGTTCGGAAAACTTGCAGAGATTGTGGCCATGCGACCACGACGAAACGGGAAGACAAACCAACTCATTCTGTTGAGAACTGTCCGCATGAGCTGGTTGATCACAGAGGTTCTTCCCGGTCGACGTTTCGAGTGTGGTGCAAGCAATGTGCTAGCTTCATCAGTGAAATGCCCATGGAAGATAGAAAGGAAATGAAGGCAACATCAAAGCAGGTTGAGCAGGCCAACATCACTGTGGCACCCATCATACAAGGACTTGCTTCAGCAGATGCCCAACATAGGTTGTCAGAAGGTCAAGTGGAGGAAATTGTAGGTACGTTTTCGGCGGTTGTGACCCAATCTCTCGCGGCAGGTGAGGAGCTGGCAGCTGCAGACCTGCACATCATCCTGCAGGACTGTGTGGTGGAAGTGACGCAAGGGGGTGAGCCAGCATCACCACCCTGGGAAGCGGTCGCTTATCACGGGATGGACGACGAGATGAAACCTGACACGGTGTCCGTTCAAAACTTTCCTGTTGTTGACATTTATGCAGAAGACGAAGAGGATGTGTGGGGAGCGTTGGATGAGGGTTGCAACAGCACGGTCCACTCATCTTATTGGGCAGATGAGATGGAGAAGAGGCTTAGGAAGCAGGGCATGAGCATGCCATGGATTAACAAGGAAACGAAGAGGTTTACTGGTTTGGCCTCGAATGCGGTGACCTTGGGCATGCGAAGAATGCCGTTTGCGATGTGTTTGACCAATGATGAAGTTATTTCAGGCACTTTGGAGTCACATGAGTTGAACTCTGGCAAGACACCTTTGTTGATTTCCTTGTATGCTCAAGCGACTTTGGGCTTGGTGAAGGACATGGGTGCAGGAACAGTCAACATCAAGGGACATGGCGAACTCAAAATCCACAGATGTTCACGAACAGGGCTGATGATGATTAACCTCTCGGAATTTCAGAAGTACCAGCAAGTTAGAAAACTGCCCAAATCAGTTCGTGCGCTCAGAGCTGAAGTGATTTTCCCTCCTGCGGCAATGGCTGGTGGTAAGGATGAACCTGATTGTGTGCAGCTCCTGCAGGGGACGTACAGGTACAACAGGGTGCCGGAGTTGGTGTGCGACACTGGCACTGTGGTATTCTCGGTGGGGTTGCGTTGGGATTTTGCCAACCACGAGATGATGAAGATGGAGAGAGATCACGACGTGGTGATGGAGATCTTGCCGGAGAACCGCAGGAGTTTGCCGACGGTGATGCTGGACTGCAGGGGCATTCATGACCCTGATTGCGGCCGGTATCGAGGACACGTTGGCAGGCATTTGCAGATCATCAAGGGGGTCTACACACTTGAGATGCGTGTTCTGTTGAGACGAGCCCTTGCTTTTTATCAGGAACATGGCGGCGCATGCAATGTGGTATTTGTATGCAAGAGCGGGCGTCATCGGAGTGTCTCAGGTGCGACCTTGTTTGGTGCAATGCTGTGCAGGATGGCTGAGGACAACTGGCGCATTGTGCACTATCACAGTGACAGCTGGAGAAGAATGGACTGTGGCGGTCATTGCGAGATGTGCAACATGACGGAGGCGAATGCGAACAACCTGATTGAGATGGTGGAGAGTTCGTTCCCGAAGGAGCAGAGAAACGCTCCCAAGCCGGCGGCTCCTCGAGTTTCGACGCCGAAGCCTATGCTCATGAAGATTCAGTCCAAGGCGAAACCCCAATCGGTGGCGAAGGAGGACCCGGTGAAGGTGCCAGCTGTTGAGGAGAAGAATCAGGAGATGGAACAGTTGAAGGCCGAGGTGTCTCGGCTTGCTGGTATGGTGAAGGGACTCGTGGAGGAGCGCGACAAGGCCAGGAGCTCGAGGGGCAGGTCAAGGACACCTCTCAGGCGTACGAGCCGATCCACATCGTCAAGGACGTTGGAGTTGGGTAGTGCGCCATGGAGGGAGTTCGACAGCCGCGAACCGCGGAAGAGGAAGGCAAGCTCACCGGAAACATCACGGGATGATTCTGCGCGGTCAGCGCGTGGTGACACGGACTTCATTGGCGATGTTGACCCTGATCGTTGTGGACCTGGAGATTTCTCGGCACGATCAACGAGACCATTTGAGATGAGCTTGCAATACAATCAGAGGGCGCAGCTTCAGTTGACGCCGAAGTACTGGTTGCAGAAGTTCGTGGAGAACGTCACTCATGATCACGAAGGATGGATTGGTCCTTACGAGATTGATCAGTCGAAGAAGGAGAAGCCAGTGAAGGAGATGAACTATGAGATGAATATCAAGTATTATCTGCGGGTGCGTGGCTATGGTCAGTCGTTCAGGATGCCGCAGGAGTTCATCAAGAGAGGCTGGCGGAAGACGGTGTTTGCTCGGCCCAAGGGTGGCGACCACGATGAGTGGCGCCTGTTGGTGCAGGATGTTCCCGCGAAGATGCGGGTGGACTATCCGAAGGATAGCATAGCCGTGGTGCTCCTGCAACCACCGATGGCTGAAGTTGAAAA